ACCACCAAGTAGCCTGAACTTTCTGATGCAAAATTTAAGGCCCTCCCATAAACTGTGCTGGTTTCCTTCCAGACTCTTCTCCCATTTCCTAATATCAACCCCTTGCTCTGCTGAAATTGAAGCCATTCCCCAAAGCCATCTCTGTGCCATCCTTATGTGATTCGTGCCCTCTCCTTGTACCCCCTGCACCTCTTTCCCCAGCCCCACAGAAAAGCAGGGTCAGAGAGACCACCATGGGGAGCTGTGGCCGCAATCCACCCAATCCACCTGAGACGACCTGGCAGGGAGAGGGTGGGGAGTGCGGGAATGGGAGGAAGGTGGGGCAGAGGGAGGGAGTAGCCACACACCTCACTGGCTGATTGCAGTTAGGGTGTCAGGAGAGATGAGTCAAGGGTAACTCATTTCAGGTTTTAGGCAGTGAATAGAATTCTTTCTCAATAGCTGTTTATTCCACATCCTTGTAGTTCTTGGAGGTTAATGTTTATTTCATAATGCCTGTATAACTTGGAACCATATATAATAAATAAATGATGATTTCTCTATATTCTACATCACTAATACATATCAACTTCAATTTGGGCTTAACAAAATACTTTGAGAGCTAGAAGACACACTCTAAAATACTGTTTGGGATTAAATACACTGCTTTCCACATAAACTATATGCATTTAATAAGAATCCTTTATTTCATTACCAGTGTGGTCTGGAGTATAAGACTTAGGAAAGTGTCTGTGAATCCTAAGAAATTCGACTGGGTCTTGGTGGCAGCTGGAGCAGGCACTGGAATGTGATCAGGACTTCTTCTCTACCTCCCTTCTCTGATTTGGCCGTGGTCTGCTATCTACTTCTGTGTCGCTCAAATCCTCTCCCTCTACTTCTCAGCCCACATGTTAAAACAGGCTGAGACCAGCTTAGAGTGTTTCAAGATATAGTCTAGGTGCTCAGTGAAAAAGTGACCCAATCCTCTTAGATACAGGTACGAAATCTTAGGGGAAAAAAACTAGAATTAGCAGGAAAATCAGACACCTGTGCTTTCTGATCAGTGCTTCCTTCTCTAGAAGGAAAATTTACTAAGAAGGCAAATTATAATTGGAAGGTTATTTGGTAAATATGGACTCAAAGAGCCAATCCCTCACCAAGTCTTATCTGTTCTACCATAAAAAAAAATCTCAAATTAGAGGCTGGGCATGGTGGCTCACACATATAATCCTAGCACTTTGGGAGGCCAAGGCAGGAGGATCACTTGAGCCCAGGAGTTTGAGACTAGCCTGGGCAACATAGCGAGACCCTGTCTCTACAGAAAACAGAAAAATTAGCTGGGTGGCATGCATCTGTAGTCCCAGCTACTTGGGAGGCTGAGGCAGGAAGATTGCTTGTTCCCATGAGTTTGAGATCGCAGTGAGCTATTATTTTGCCACTGCACTCTAGTCTGGGCAACAGAGCAAGACACTGTCTCAAAAAAAAAAAAAAAAAAATCCCAAATCAGTCATTTTCCAGTTTCACCTGGTTGAAACTGGAAGCCATCATCCACTCTTGTCAAAATTTCTGCAATAGGTTCTTTACTCATTTCTTAGCTATCATTTTTTAAAAATCTCCTTTAGATTGATTGTCCAGTCAGCGTCCAGAATTACCCTTTTGCACTGTAACTCAGATCATATTCCTACCTAAAATACCCCAATAGCTTTTGATCTCTTAGAATAAAATCCCAACTCCTTCACATAGCCTCTAAGGGTCGATATGACCTGGCCCCTCCCTGACTGTCTCTCTACCTCATCTCCTATGGCTCCTGGTCTTGTTCCTTCCACTCCAGCCACCTCATCTCCTGTTGTAGCTCAAACATGCTAAGCTCGTGACATATAAGGATTTATTTTCCTAGTGAGAGAAAATGCATTGATTAGTGAACACAAGTACCTGGTTTATCTGTTACAGTCCTCATTGTACATCAACAAATTGGCATCCATCCATCTCTTATGAGTCTGGCTAGTATGAATTTGCTCTCCCTGGAAGTACAGACAAGATTGTATTCCTCAGCCCACGGAGCTAAGAGACAGACTCGTGAGACTTGGACCTTGTCTATCCCATTAGAGTACTACTGCCCTTGAATGGCCTTGCCTGCACAGCCTTCCTCAGCAGACACACAGCAACGTGCTATCATGTGCAAATGTTTTCCCTTGAAGTGTGGTAAATGCAAAATGCTAAAATTGATTACAACAATGGTATTCAAAGTGGATGAGCAAGTAGATCTGCTGAAGTGTGAAAACTAATAAAATTCTATTTTTATTTATTTTTAACCTAAAATATTAGAATTTTGCTTTCCTATACTTAACATTTACCTTAGTATATTTAGTAAATATACTTATTTACTAAAATAAGAATTTTTCTTTACTATATGTAACAGCAGAAGCCTCAGTCAGTCAGACAGTCATCTGTCACATAAAAGCTGTGAGCTGTCCCTGGGGGAGGCAGAGAAATGTCTCCCCTGGGGGAGGGGCTGATGGTGGCACCTGCCGTCGTTCATTCACTTCATGGTGTCTTGGGATTTACTGACATTTACCCCAAGCTTGGTTAAATGGATTTATAGAGAATTAACTAATTCTCACAAAATGGAAACATGATTAAAAAGATTTCTACAAAGAACTGGACTTGAGTTCTTACTAAAAGTTCAAGTATAAGAAAAGAAAAGAGAGAGCTGACATTTCTCAACTTCTGGTACAAGCTTACATTCATCATGGTGTAAAAATAATGATGATCTAGTAAGATCTGACAAGGTCAGACAAGAAATGGAAATTCACGGGAGGACTCTTTGCAATGTGGATTTCCATCCACTATTATTTATAATTAACTTTGAGCTACATGTATATTTGCTTTGAGATTGGCCAACAATTGAGCGAAACTATTACAATTAACATAACATTAAAATAGTTTTTTATTTCTAAATTTCTATTTTGTAGATATTATATATTTTATATATTTATATATGTTATAATTATAGACTACTATAACTATATATTAATATTAATGTATTAATATACATAAGTAATTGTGTGTGTGTGTGCTTAAAAACTTTTAATGATACAATCAAAAAACTTTAAAGACTACTGGCTTAAGAGATGGCATATGGATGAAATCTGACCTCAATATCTTTATCATTATCTTTATTAAGTAATTGAAAGCTAGAATCATCATTTCATAATACCCTTATACATAGAATAGCAATTATACTGGAAAGTGGGTTATTAATAAATAGTTATATCTAGAGCACCAGGATTTTACAATTTGGGAAGCAGCACACCACTAGGGCAAGTTAGTCAACCTATTGCGCCCAAGTTTCTTCACTGTAAAAAAAAGATAATACTAGTACTTATTACATAGGGATATTTTCAGGATTAAATGAGATACTATATATAAGAATTTAGACCAGTGCCTGGCATTTAGTAAGTGCTCAGTGAGTGTTAACTAACACTAACCTGTAGTTAAATTGGGGAAAACAAACACAAAAACAAAACTAGCCTTGCTACCTACTGCCGCTTGCTGGCCAACATGGGTTGGTACACTGGAATCTACACAGGGAAGCTGAACGTAAATGCTTGGAGTAAGGAAAGATTTTCAGTGTTGAAGGAAACAATGCTTAAGCTGGGTGCATTGGCTCACGCCTATAGTCCTAGCACTCTGGGAGGCCGAAGTAGGCGGATTGCTGAGGTCAGGAGTTCAAAACCAGCCTGAGCGAGACCCCGTCTCTCCCAAAAATAGAAAGAAATTAGTTGACCAACTAAAAATATATATACAAAAAATTAGCCGGGCATGGTGAAGCATGCCCATAGTCCCAGCTACTTGGGAGGCTAAGGCAGTAGGATCACTGAGCCCAGGAGATTGAGGTTGCTGTGAGCCAGGCTGATGCCACAGCACTCACTCTAGCCTGGGCAAGAAAGTGAGACTCTGTCTCAAAAAAAAAGGAAACAATGCTTAACCTCTGAAGATTTTTGCAAAATAGTATTGAGAAAAATTAACTGTCATGAAATTAAGCAATTAGTGAGGAATATAGGAAAATAAATCAAATATCTTTTTAATTAATTAATATATTTTAGATGTTTAAAAATTTTTAAAGCAGGACATTTTAAATGGTAGTGTTCTCCAGTAGAGCCTTTGAAAATTTATGGTGCAATAGAGCATGATTTGCCAATAAAGCAACTTGCTCCCTGAAATGACCAAATATGTATTTCAAGTTCTGCCTTAACGTTTGGGGGTGGGAGGAGGTATGATCTTGCTATGTGCAGATTATGTAACGACAATACTATTGCATAGTTGGTGCTCACTCTATGGCAAGTGCTTTCCACATCACCTTTTTTCTTTTTCTAACATGAAAATATTCAAACATATACAAAGAATTGATAGAATAATATAATGAACATCCACATACATATCACTCCGTTTAACATTTAACATTTTCTGTATTTTTATTTCTAAATTATTTTAAAATATAAGTATCAAATATTTCACCCCTAAATACACTGAATGCATGTCTAAAAATAGAGACATTTTTCTCTATAAGCACAATACCATTATCACACCTAATAACAATTATCTAATATCCTCTAATACCCCAGTCCAAATTCAAATTTCTTTCAATAGTCCCCAAGATATCTTTTATATCTTCTCTATTTAACCAGAATCAACTGAGGAGAAACCACGCATTTGGTTATTATGTCTCCTTAATTTCTTTTAATCTATTTATAGAACAGCCCTTCCTCAGTATGCCTGTAAAAAAAAAAAAATGACACAGACTTATTTAAAGAGACTGAGACATTTGTTCAGTAGGATGTCCCACCATTTGTTCTGGGTTTTTCTGATTGTTTCTTCCTGATGTCATTTTATTCTTCTATCCTTGTAGTTCCTGAGACAGGAAGATAGATTTAAAAGCATGATTATGTTGAGGTTAAAGATTTTTGGAAACAATTCTTCATAGATGATGCTGGAGCTTCATCTTGCATCACATTGGGAGATACTTAATATCAGGTTTGTATACTTTTAGTGGTGATTAAGATTGATTTGGGTTAAGGTGGGAGGGGTAAGATTTTCCTGTGTGGTTACATTTTTAACCTGATGACCAGCAGCAATCCCTAGGGGATAATTTGGCGCCAAGTGAATATCCTGTTTTCTAACACCTTTTCACCAAACGGTTACTTTGATGATCCTGGCATTAATTAGTTCATTAGATGCTACAAAAATAGTGATTTTTTTTTCCTAATTCTATCATTCATTTTACATTATTTAGCTGGTATACTTTTGTAAAGAGAACTGTGTCCTCATCAGCTGGTGCTATTTGGATACCCTGAAATACAACTGCTACTAGAAAGGCAGAATAAATGTTTAATTTATTTTCTTAAGTTACTACTTTCCAGAGTAAAGAGTTGGTGTAGTAGTCACCACCAATAGTGTGGCAAATGAGATTTAAAACAAAAAAATTTTTTTTTTAAATTTGGATTACCCTTTTTGGGGAAATGACTTTTTTATGTTTAATGTCTTCAATCATTTTGCATTGTGCAGACATTGTTATTTTTGATGCTCAAATTATTCTAATTCTGGCCAGTGGGCGATACTTTGATCTGTCTCCCGTGTCCTTTTGAAAGGATCTTGTTTTTCTAGGTTTGCGTCCTGACTTTCTGGCACAAAATATTCCAGTCTGTCCTTATTCATTCTCGCCTCCTGACCTGGCACCAGCCCTGGTACTTTTTAGAGGGAGTAGTATTTAGAGATCAGCATCTGGGCGACAAGGATAAGCATTGCTGCTTGGCCCTGAGTTCATATTCCTATTTACACCCCCAAGTTAACAATATAAGGTCGTTTATTTGTGATCATGAACTCGTATTACACTCTCTATTTAAAAGGAGGAAACGGAGACCAGAGGTGCCCAAGGGTGGATTTGAACCCGCGCACGTTACTTCCGTCGGGGAAGGGAGCCCCAGGAATTCAGAGGGGCTTCTGCAGAAGCCGAAGAGTCCTCAGAAAAGGTGTCAGGTTGATGATCAGATCTGGGGGTGTGGAAACCAGCAGGTGGGGGGAACAGACCCGTCCCGACCGACTCCTTTGACAGGGAAGGGCAGGACGGGGCGAATTACTGGGTGAGGGGGGAACCGTTCCGGGCGTAGTCAACGCTGCTGTTTCGCCTCAGATCTGACCAGAGCTCCCTAAATCGCAGAAACCACCAAAGACCCACACGCGCGCAGTCCAAAGGGCAGAAACCAGCCGTCACAGCAACCTCAGTCAAAGCCCACCCACTGGACCTGACCCGCTGCCGCGTAGTACCCGCCCACCAGCCAATCAGGGGGAGCCGCGAGCAACGGGGTGGGACATCAGAGCAGCGTGTTCAATGAGGAATCAGCCTGGGTTTGCCTCAGGACAAAGAGTTTCAAAGTCTCAGCGGAGGAGATAGTGAGGCTTGGCCAATCAAAGGGGGCGACTCACGTCGATGGGTGCTGCCAGCCAATCAGAAGAGCGCTGGCTCTCGACTGGCCCGGCCCACGCTTCCCACCGGTCCTCTAACCCCGAGGCGCCGGTGCGGCTGTCACTGGGCCGCGCTCGCAGTCCGCTCCTCACACCTGTGCTACAGACCCCAGGGCTGTGCGGGACATGGCGAACTCGAACTTCGAGGACGGCCGAGGCCAGGAGGAGGAGACTTTTTTGTACTTCGCCTACGGCAGCAACCTGCTGACGGAGAGGATCCACCTCCGAAACCCCTCGGCCGCGTTCTGCTGCGTGGCCCGCCTGAAGGTGAGCGCCCCGGGCCGGCGCCTGCAGCGTCGCGCCCGATGTACACGCGACGGGGCTGGGATTCCCAGAAGTCCCTTCCTCGGGGGCACGCGTGGGCGGAACGGGCCAGGAACGCAGTTCTTCCAGGGGAGAGCACACCAGGGTTCTCGGTGCTATGGCTTCTGCCTCCTGGGCGAGTCCACCACCTCCACTGCCCTCACTTCCCCATTCCTGACCCCTGCGGAACTGTGCTACCCGGCCTGGCCACGGTGCCCTCCCGCGCTTTCCGCTTCCTGACGTGTCCACCTGCGGCTCGTTCTGCACAGAGGTGGCCGCCTCTGTCTTGTCCACTAACTGAGGGGCATCCTCACAGGCCCCTGGTACATCTGAGAAGCCTTCCCCGACCCGAGTCAGAGAATTAGTTGCTTTCTGTTCTGTAGATACCTTTGTTACAGGGCTTGTCACCTGGCATTGTAAAACTCCGTTTACCTGTCTTTCACTCCTGATCTGGGAGGTCCCGAAAGCTGGAACCGTGTCTTATCCATAGTAACCGCAGTGTGTAGTTACATCAGGCGGCCGGATGAGCCATGACCAGCCATAAATCGTCGCTCTTCGGTCCCATACATTCATTCGTTTAGTGCATATTCTTCTGGCACGTAACACCGAGGATACAAAGACGATTGAGTAAAGTTGCTGTTTTGAGGCCCTCCCAGTCTATAGAAGAGATGTGCAGACGGATTATGTACAAAACCTTTTGACAGCGTTGAACTAGACAAACATGATCTCTGCTAACCTCGTCAGAGTTCTTAGTTGCAAGCAACAGAAACTGGCTGATTTAAGCAGAAAAAAAGAAAAAAAGAATGTATTGAAAGCTTATTGGATAGCTCACAGAATGACCAGGAAGGCAGGAGTACAAAGCTGACAAAACAGGCAGGCATAAAGGGAGGCGCAGCGACCGTAACACAGCCAGCATCGCACAACAGAACCGGCCCACGGAGCCTCTGTTGCACCACTGTTGAACCTGGTAAACATCGATGCTGTATTGTGCATGACCAGCACACCTGTGCTAGACTCTGCCTGCCACCGTACTATATACCTGCAGTTCCTGAAACCTAGATGTGTCTGCTACCACCAAGGTGGAGTCCCTGCTGTCCTTGGGCATTAGCTTCTAATTCAAAGCCCACAGGGACCTGATTGGCTAAGTCTTGGCCATGTACCCATGTCCTGACTGCAAACAAGAATGAACTTCTTGACTTTGAAGCTTCAAAAATGGGTGTGAGGCTCTGGTACTCCCTATCCCCAAACTAGTAAGGTAGAGAATTTCCCAAATGTAGAAAGAGAGTTCAAATGCTTATAGTCAGGGCAGGGGGAAGAGATAGCACAAAATGACTATTTAGCTACAGGTATGGTCATTTTTAAAAAGGAGCTATGCAAGGTGCAATGGGGTATATGACCCAGGGACCTGACCCAACCCCACCCCACCCCTGCTGAAAATGTGACTTTTAAGCTGAGACCTGAATAACTGGTGAGTAAACAGGGAATAGCATCTGCAAAGGATCTGAGGAAAGAAGCTGGATCTTCTAGCCATTGTGGAAAGGGGATGTGGCATGAAGACTGGAGAGATAGGAAAGGGCCACATCTTACAGGACCACAGAGGCCAAATAAGACTTTGGACTTTAACTCAAAAGCAATGAGAAGACCCATTACAGAATTGAAGCAAATATCAGATGTACATCTCCGAAAGCTCATTCTGGTCACTATGGAAAATGGATTTGAAAGGGGGCAAGAGTGTATGTGGGGAGCCCAGTTAGGAAGCTTTTGCAACAATTCATGTTAAAGATAAATGGCCCTTATACTAGGTGGTGGCAGGGATGGGTGGATGGATTTGAGAGATATTTAGGAGGTACCATTGTGAAAACTTGGTGGTTAAGTGTGAAGGCAATCAAGGATGACTCACGTTTTTGGCACGAGGTAGATGATGGTAATGTCTACAGAGAGAAGAAGCGAATCCAGTTTTAGAGGGAAAAATTGTAAGTTCACTTTGAAGATCCTGAATTTGAAATGCTTGCTAGATAGTCAAGTGAACAGAAAAGTATAGGTGAACATTTATTAAGTACTTACTGTGTGCTAGGCCCTGTTCTAATAAGCACTTTTGAAGCTCAGAAGAGAAATCTGGGCTGGTTTAAAGATGATTGGAGTATTAGATGGTATTTGAAGCCATTTGAGGCAAAATGAGATTGTCTTGGGCAAATTGCAAAATGAATAGAGAAAATGGCCCAGACTGAGCCCTGAGAAACCAACATTTTAAGATAAGATAGCAGGGGTGGGAGTTGGCAAAAGAAATTGAGATCAGGCAACAGCCTGAAAGTCAGGAAAGAGGTGGACCAAGAGAGAGTAGTAATCTATGTCACCAGCAGCTGAGAAGTGGAGCAGGATAAGGAATGAGAATTGGCTGTTGACTTTAGCAAGAGACAACCAGTCCCTGGTGTGGGTTGTAACTTTATCAGATCTACTGTTCTGCCAGGGACACTTGGTCCTAGAACATCCAATATGCTCACTGAAAGTAGTGGTAAAGCAAACCAACTTTATTCCTGAATATCTGACAAGGTTTTTGAGAAGATATAAGTGACAGGGATAAAATGTAAACCTGGAAAGGACCTTAGAGTTATCATTTAGTCCAACTTTTTTTTTATTTTACTAGTAAGGAAACTAAGATCCAAAAAGATGGAAAGCTTCCTAGACCAAGCAAACAAGCCAAGTAAGGATTTTTAATATTCCCTGGGATTAACTCTATCCCCTATTGCCCACCTCTGTGAGGAAAGAAGCTAAACTAGAAACCTGGTTCCATTACTCATTAGTTTTGAGACCTTTATGCAAGTTGCTTAATCTTTCTAAGCCTCTTTTTCTTGCTGTAAAATGGGTATAATAAAGTTTCTAGTAGGATAAAAAGAGATAGTCCATATAACACTAATAGCACAATGTATCACACTCAATCATTTTTCAGTAAGTGTTAGCTGCTCTTATTATTGTAGGTAAATTAGTACAATTCATGAATATTAATGTTCATGATATACAAATCATCTATTCTCAAATGCCAGCTCCCTTAGGGCAAATATGGTTATATATGCTGATAGGATACTCTACAGACATAAGAGTAGAGAGAATATTATAATCCCCATATAGCCATCACTCAGCTTGTCTCTGAGTAAAAATATGCATATGTAAGAAGACTAAGAAGTAATTTCAAAAATGAAAGCAATTATGTTAAGGAATTGGGGTTATGGGATTTTTTTTTGCCTTAAGCCTTTTGTTTTTATTAAGATGTCTGTACATATTCACTGTTTGTTTCACTTTAAAGAAAAATATTTAAAAATACATAGTCCTTGAGATCTGGATCCTTGTTTGTTTAATTCTGTATTTTCTACAGCTTCTTATGTGTGGAAGGAACTCACAGTTTATTGAATGTTTTAATTGCATGGAGTTCAAGGTAAATTCTTTTTGAGGAGAGAAATTGGGGTTCAAGTGGATATTGATCATATCACTTTGATTTCCTTTGTAGGATTTTAAACTTGACTTTGGCAATTCCCAAGGCAAAACAAGTCCAACTTGGCATGGAGGTATAGCCACCATTTTTCAAAGTCCTGGCGATGAAGTGTGGGGAATAGTATGGAAAATGAACAAAAGCAATTTAAATTCTCTGGATGAGTAGGTAGCTTCTAATTATAAGTTAAAAAATAACTAATTCAGAAAGTGGATTATATGATGTGTATATGTGTATCAGTTTTTCAAAACCATATATTCTTTACACTTTAGAATCAACATAAAAGGTATAATCATGTGAGTTTGCTAAAAAGTCTAGAAAGGTTACACTTTCTAATTGAGATTTGGGAGAATGTTTTTACTCTCTTATATAAAAGATCAAAGTCCTTAATTTTTGTTTTATCTGTCTTTTACAAAAATTTCTCTTTATAGTTTCATATTGGTAAAAGGCATAAAGAGTTTTGTAATTGTTACATATTTTTATTGATTTTAAAAACACTAAGTTTTTAAAGAACAATTATTTAAGATGGCAGTTGGATCAGTAAATAAGTAATAATTTGTAAAGGCATATAATAACATGTTAGAGATGCATTGATACTTTTTATATCTAGGACTCTCAGAGTTGTTTGGCAGAGTATTTCCTACACAGAAAGTTGGTAGAAAAGAGAAGGCCTTGAGAAAAGCAGATGCCTGATATTTTTATGTCACTTGTGAACAAGAACGAACCATCGTCTCTACTTTTCTCTGGGTGGATATTCTCTTGCTGTCAGAACACACAGTCTATTTTTGTAGCCTGAAGAACAATGTTTCAGGGTATAAAGATGAAAGTAACTATATTGAAGCATGTTTTCAGACAGGATGGAGAGTTGTGTTAGGAATATACCAAGTAATATTAAGTCTCAGACTTTCTAATTGAAATGCTAAGCTTACATTTGATGTGGTAGTATTTTTATGTTTTACTATATCCCAAAATACAAAGGAAGCAAGTATGTCAATATATAGTTAGATTTTTTAATCCTATACCTCCTTTACCTGACTAAAAGACCTTACCCAGTAAACTAAATTGGCTAGGTCAAATATGGTTAAAATTGGGCTGTTCTGGTTTCAGGCAAGAAGGGGTTAAAAGTGGAACATATGTTGTAATAGAAGTTAAGGTTACAACTCAAGAAGGAAGAGAAATAACCTGTCGAAGTTATCTGATGACAAATTATGAGAGTGCTCCCCCATCACCCCAATATAAAAAGGTAAGCTATTTGCAAAGACTTTCTGGGATTACTTTTTTTTTTTTTTTTTTTGAGACAGAGTCTCACTTGTTGCCCAGGCTAGAGTGAGTGCCGTGGCGTCAGCCTAGCTCACAGCAACCTCAAACTCCTGGGCTCAAGTAATCCTTCTGCCTCAGCCTCCCGAGTAGCTGGGACTACAGGCATGCGCCACCATGCCTGGCTAATTTTTTTTATATATATTTATATTAGTTGGCCAATTCATTTCTTTCTATTTTTATAGTAGAGACGGGGTCTTGCTCTTGCTCAGGCTAGTTTCTAACTCCTGACCTCGAGCAATCCGCCCGCCTCAGCCTCCCAGAGTGCTAGGATTACAGGCGTGAGCCACCGCGCCCAGCTTGGGATTACTTTTTAATTTTCACTGAGATAAGATAAAGAGTATCTCATTTCTAAAAGGCTTTGTGTGTTTTAAATTCCACATGACTAAATCATTCTAATCAAAATGTTTTTAAGTACAGAAACAACAGGTATTTACCTAAAGTACAAATTCAACAAACATTGTTCAGATTTATCTGTAATGATAGAATTATATTAATAAAACCTTGTTTATTAAAAAAAAAAAAAAAACCTTGAGAGAATAAGCATGGGGACTCACACCTATAATCCCATTATTTTGGGAGGCTGAGGCAGGAGGATTGCTTGAACCCAGGAGTTCAAGGTTACAGTGAGCTATGATCACACCACTGTTCTCCAGCCTGAGCAATATGACCCTGTCTCTTAAAAAAAAAAAAAAAAAAAAACTTAAAAAAAAACTTTTAGAAATTTACATGAATCAGAATTCTAGTCATGTATTTTCTTTCTTAAAGTAGAAAAGAACAAATATAAGTGTATGTTTAATAGACTTAGTCTATATATATGCTTTTATGATATTTTCTTTTCCATAAACAGTATTTTAAGAATATCAAAATTCACTTTTATGGGGAAGAAATATATTTCCTACTGCTGAAATGTTTTCCATCCCTAGATGGAGAAAGACAAGTCACACTGCCTTTCAGAATCAGGGAAACCACTCCTGCAAGCACAAGACAAGAACGTGGGATAGAGACCCCGACATCCCTTCTCAGAAACCCAAACTAGGTACTTGTCAGGCCCAATCAGGACATGGCACCTATATTGGGTAACCCAGTTCCTGGGCCTAATCTGGAATTTTCTGGTATAAATCCTAGAGAAATTAGCCTGGTATAGATCTTGAAAGTGCCACTTGAACCCAGCTGCCATTTATTCCCCCATATCTGATTCAGAGCAAGAGCAGAATCGAGGATTAAAACCAAAACTGTCCCTATAAACTTTAAATTTTTTTGAAGACTGATGTTTTTCTTAAAAGGTCATGTAAAATTTACATAATAAGATGTTTTTGTCGTTAATATAAAAATATTTTGAATATTATTGAGTAAAATTGATATTCCATGAAGATGCTTTATGTGGCTTTGAAAACTCCCTAAGCATTCGTGCTCAGTGTGAGAGGAAAGACTGTATTTTGTTCTATAATTGTTTATTCTGGAGTTAATATGTGAAAGCTAATATTTCAGACTCTGACAATGCCAATAAAACTGTGGTATGCTAAATTGTTTTATCCATTCCTAATTTGTTTTATCTATTTCTAGGTTATTTGCATGGGTGCAAAAGAAAATGGTTTGCCACTGGAGTACCAAGAGAAGTTAAAAACAATACAACCAAATGACTATAAAGGAAAGGTCTCAGAAGAAATTGAAGATATTATCAAAAAGAGGGAAACACAAACTCATTAGAACACAACAGAGTTTATCTAAGGATATTCTTTTTCTGTGCTAATATACAATATTTTTAACTTTTGAGAACAGGGACGGGGATATCTCCATGTTTAATCCATTTTCATCAGCGCTCTGAAGGGCCCTCTCACTTGGGTAATTCCTTGTTTCCAGACTATAAAAGGAAACTGGATTAGGAGTTAGACAATTAAAAAGGGGGCTATGAGGCCCTGGAATGTGTGACAAATTGATGTGGGTATACCTTCTCTAAACACTAAAGCTATTTTCTTGAGTTGATCTTAAGTGTCTTCTTGCTCTCTGGCAAAGGGCAGACTTGCAGCTTGCTTGATGATGTTGCTGGTGAATTGCTCTGCATGGAATTTTTTTTTTTAACATATATATATTTTTAAATTTAACTTTTTTCTTGATATGAATGTTTGAGCTAATGGGATTTTTTTATCAGCTTAATAAGAGTAAACAAACTACAGAGATGGTTGATAATAAAATCTTGAAAATTGGAAAGATGGTATACTGTTTTTAGAGGAATAAATGTATTTGTGATTTAACCTGTTTTCCCTACTAAAGTACTCCATTTCATTATGTTGTTAGACCCAAATCATGACACATACAGGGTCCGGTCTTAGCCATATAGAGTCTATACTAGACTAGTATTGTATAGACTCTAGAGCCAAATAGCCTATGATCAATTAATTGTCAGTGCCACCAATTTCTAACTGTGAGACTTTGGGTTATTTGTTTCTCGTGCCTCAGTTTTCTCAACTGTAAGGTAAGGATAATTAAAACACCTATATCTTAGGATTGTTTTGAAGATGAAATAAATAAAATATATGTAATGAGCTTAGAACAGAATGTGGCACAATATAAGTATTAACAATCATTATTGTTTTTATTGAAGAATTAAGTTTATACAGGGTCATCCTTGGAATAGAATTTTAAAGTAGAAGAGTCAAAATTATGAAGGGAAAATTGGAGGGAGAGGCAGCTGAAGTTTGATTCTTGGCTTGTCAAGAAGTGGTAGACTTCTTAAATTTATTTACTGAATAAATGGAGGAAAGAAGAGTCATGAATAAAGCAATACTGGCTCTCAAAAATTCACTTATGTCTCTATGAAATGCAATGAGCTGTACCTTCCAAACTGCAATGTGAGTGAACTAGCTACAGGAGCATAAAATAAAAATTTGTTTTGTTCTCTTGGGAAAAATGACAGAACAAGTTTTCAGGCTACAGTTGCAATTCCGTAGTGAGGCTGAGCCATCCAGGGGTGGGGAACCTGCGATATCAAGGCTACATGTGGCTCTCCAGATCCCCAAATATGGCCCCCTCGACCAAATCCAAACTTCACAGAACAAATCCCTTTATTTTTTTATTTTTTATTTTTTTTTTGAGACAGAGTCTCACTTTGTTGCCCAGGCTAGAGTGAGTGCCGTGGCGTCAGCCTGGCTCACAGCAACCTCAATCTCCGGGGCTCAGCGATCCTGCTGCCTCAGCCTCCCGAGTAGCTAGGACTACAGGCATGCGCCACCATGCCCGGCTAATTTTTTGTATATATATTTTTAGTTGGTCAATTAATTTATTTCTATTTTTGGTAGAGACGGGGTCTCGCTCAGGCTGGTTTCGAACTCCTGACCTTGAGCAATCCGCCCGCCTCGGCCTCCCAAAGTGCTAGGATTACAGGCGTGAGCCACCACACCCGGCCCAAATCCCTTTATTAAAAGGGTTTCTTTATTAAAGGATTTGGCCCATGTTTCATAGCTGCCACAACTCACCATTTTCCTATACCCTCTAATATTCTAGTTTTCTCCTAGTTCTTAACTCCTGAGAAAGACCAAGTTTGTTTTTCTTATGTCTTTCTAGAACCCACTTATGGTCATTTAGTGAGCAAGGTACAGTTTTGCTGTAGGTACTAAGAATAGAATATTATTCTAATCTCTCATTTAACTAAAATGACAACTCTTAAGGAATTTAAAATGTTAACAATAAAAATCTTCACGTCTGTCCTTTTAACAAAAATCTGGTAATCATGAGGAATACTATTTTTCTAGTTTTCAAGGTAATACTTGAAATACAGATAACATATGTAAGGAGTTTCCCTTTCTACTCCTTGAATTTGGCCCTTGAAACCACAATACTATCAGATCCTAGATAAACTATAACAAACATAGTTTTTGAAAAAGCATTTCTGGACTTGCAATAAAATGAGGAAAATCTTCAAGGTGAACCAAACCCTTCCCCACAAAAAGAAAGAAGGAAGATGAACTGTGAGCTGAAAGGACAAACAGTACTGGTAAGCAAATGATCCTGATGTCTCTGGGTATAAATGCCAATTATAGCCCTAGAATTGGACTACTAACCCTGGAGCCTCCTGCTGTAGGACAGGAAAACTGAACTTGAGAATTTCTGTCTGAAGCCAGGACCCTTGAAGAGGACTAAAATAGCCCCCAGTTGGTACCCTGCAGTGGTTCCCAGCAAAAACAGAAGCAAATCCTCTCTGGAGAAAGCAATCCTAATATAAAAGGTCCTCAGGATTTCCCTTAAAAATTTAAAAGATATGCCGGGCGCGGTGGCTCATGCCTATAATCCTAGCACTCTGGGAGGCTGAGGCGGGCGGATTGCTCGAGGTCAGGAGTTCGAAACCAGCCTGAGCAAGAGTGAGACCCCGTCTCTACTATAAATAGAAAGAAATTAATTGGCCAACTAATATATATATATAAAATTAGCTGGGCATGGTGGCGCATGCCTGTAGTCTCAGCTACTCGGGAGGCTGAGGCAGAAGGATTGCTTGAGCCCAGGAGATTGAGGTTGCTGTGAGCTAGGCTGACGCCACGGCACTCACTCTAGCCTGGTCAACAAGCAAGACTCTGTCTCAAAAAAAAAAAAAAAAAAAAAAAAAGATAATAAGGAAGACAATGTATCATGAGTGAGAACAGAAAAAAATTTTAATGTATCTCAGGAAGAAGGTGCATAAAAATTAAAATATAAATAAATAAATAAATAAAAACCAAATTTAGACCCTCAAAGTTTTAAGATACTGAAATTATCCAAAAGAATACAAAATAAATATGTATGGAGACTTTGACTTCTGTGAAGGTGGAGTAGACATATGTTTCCCTATTCCTCTAGTTAAGTACAATTAAAATCCCTGAACATTATGTATAAAATAAACAGAAGAAGACTAAAAGGTGGAGGGAGGACAGGCCAGCCCAGGACTCAGGACCCAAGGCACAATATGGTGTTGAATTCTCTGGGTTTTCTTTTGCCTCATACATCTTATACTTGTAGTTGAAGAAGCTAACAACTTGAAAGCACTAGTGAGCATAGGCACATATACACAAAACAAAAAAAAGCCAACTTTCTCTAGTGAAAGGACCAGGGCAGTTTGGCAAGACAGAAAACTTTTAAAGAATAAATGCTGTCCTCTAGTTACACCACAGAAAAAATTGTTGACCCTTACCTCTACTCATGCCAGCAAAAGCCAAGAGGGGAGCCTAGACTTCCACACTCACCAGGCTGCAACAAGGCACCCTAACCTCACAGTAGTGTCAAAAAAAGGCCAAGTAGGGAGACTCCTGGTAGTAACAAGCCTCATTTCCTCACGCTGTCAGTGGAAACTATGTTGGAAGCCTAGGCTTAAACCTCTATCTTGCAGCAATGGTGCCCTCTGTCCTTTCTACTGGGGTGGTATCAGAGGCCAAGTGGAATATCAGGACTTTCACTATTTCCCAGTGGTAACCAAGCCACCCGTCCCTGTGGTGTCAGTGGAGGCCATGTGGGGAGCAGTAACAAGGCAATCCCACTTCTACCAGCCAAAGAGGTATCAGTGGAAACCTAATGGAGAATTATTAAATACAACTCCTACCCTACCCCCTGCTTTCAGCAGTAACAAGGTGCACGCCCCCCTTGGGTGACAATAGAGACTACATGGGGGACTGAACTTCTACACCTACTTGGCAGTATTGTGGCAGGGCCTGTCACTTTCCCCTGCTGAAGTGGTTTCAGAGTAAGCCAGCTCAAACAAAGTTTAAATAAGATTTAAAGTCTTACAAGTTCCAAAATGTTCAGGTTTCACTAGAAAAACCACTCATTCCAATAACCAGGAGAATCTCACTAAATATAAAAAGACAATCAATAGATGTCAAATCTGAGATGACAGATATATTAGAGTTATCTGACAAAGATTTTAAAGCAGCCATCATAAAAATGCTTCATTGAGCAATTAATAACATGCCTGAAATAAATGAAAATATGGAAAGTCTCAGGAAAGAAATAGAAGAGATAAAGAAGAACCAAATGGAAATTTTCTAACTGAAAAACACAATGACTGAAATCAAAGACTCAATAAATGGGCTCCACAGCAGAATAAAGGAGACAAAGGAAAGAATCCATGAAATGGAAGATAGAACAATGGAAATTACCCATTCCAAACAACAGAGAGAACACAGACTGCAGAAAAACAAAAACAAAACAAAAAAACCCAAAAAATATAGACCTGTGGGACTATAATAGAAGATCTAACACTTGTGTCATGGTAGTCTCAAGAGGAGAAGAGAAAGGGCAGGTTGAAGTAATGACTAAAACATCCCAAATATGGCAAAAGACATAAACCTAGAGATTCAAGAAACTGAGTGAACCCCAAACATAAACTTAAAGAAATCCGTACCAATACACATGACAGGCAAACTTACAAAAACTAAAGGTAAAGAAAAATTCTTGAGAGCAGATTTCTTATCAAAACCATGGAGGCCTGAAAGAAATGGAACATTTTCAGGTGCTGAAAGAAAATAACTGTCAACCCAGAATCCAGATAAAATAGCCTTTGAGAATGAAGGGGAAATCAAGACATTCTCAGATGAAGGAAAATGAAGAAAATTTGTTGCCAGCAGCCTTACCCTAAAAGAATGATTGAAGCAAGTTCTCTAAACAGAAAGGAAATGATAAAAATAGGAACCTTAGAAAATCAGAAAGGAAAAAATATCATGGTAAGCAAAAATATGATGTTCTTTGTCTTGCATTTCCTTAATTATGTTTGATTATTGAAGCAGAAATTATAACACTGCCTTATGTGGTTTTAAATATATGTAGAGGTAATATTTAAAATAATTACAAAAAGAAAATAAAGGGAGGTAAGGTTTCTATACTTTATTTGAACTGGTAAAATGATGACACCAGTAGACTGAACAATTATGTATATCTAGTTGCTAGAGCAACCACTAAAAAAGGTATACAAGAGATATACTCAAAGCACCACAAATAAATCAAAATAGAATTCCAAAAAAATGATCAAGTAATTTCAAAGTTCAAGTATGTTCAAGTAACATTCAAAAAAATGTTCAAGAAGGCAGGAAAAAGACAACAGAGAAATGAAAAACAGAAAAAACAGAAAACAAAAAATGAAATGGCAGCCTTAAGCCCTAACATAGTAATAATTACATTAAATATAAATGGTCTAAATATGCAAACTGAAAGAAATTGGTAGAGTGGATTAAAAACATGACCTAACATTATGCTGGCTACAAGAAACTTATTTGAAATATAATAATATAAGCAGTTTGAAAGTAAAATGATGGAAAAAGATATATGATGCAAACAATCGAAGGAAAAAATAAGTGGCTATATTAATACTAAATAAACTGATTTCATGGCTTGGCGCAGTGGCTCATGCATGTAATCCTAGTACTCTGGGAGGCCAAGGCAGGAGGAGCGATTGAGCTCAGGAGTTCGAGACCAGCCTGAGCAAGAGTGAGACCCCGTCTCTACTAAAAAAATAGAAAGAAATTAGCTGGACAACTAAAAATACATAGAAAAAAATTAGCTGGGCATGGTGGCATATGCCTGTAGTCCAAGCTACTCTGGAGACTGAGGCAGGAGCATTGCTTGAGCCTAGGAGTTTGAGGTTGCTGTAAGCTAGGCTGACGAGGCTGATGCCATAGCACTCGAGCATGGGCAACAGAGCGAGACTCTGTCTCAAATAAATACATTGATATCTGAGCAAAGACAATTACCAGAGACAGAGAGGGGCATGGGGTAGCCCTTACCAATTCATTTTATGAAGCCAATACTACCTAATACCCAAACCAGACAAAGACAATACAATAAATAAATAAGCCTACAGACCAAGATCATTCATTAATACAGATGCAAAAATCCTTAACAAGATATTAGCAAAGAATTCAGCAGGACATAAAAAGAATTACATACTATGATCAAGTGGAGTTCATTCCACAGCTGCAATGTTGATTCAATATTGAAAATCAAAGTAAGCCAATGTATTAATAAGCTAAAGAAAAAAGTTATATGATTGTGTCAATTGATGCAGAAAAAGCATTTGGCACAATTCACCCATTTGTGATAAATATTCTCAGAAAAATAGGAATAGAGGAGAACTTTAACAACTTGATTAAGAGAATCTACAAAATAGCTACAGGTAACATTAAACTTAATAGTAAAAGACTGAATGATTTCTCCCTAACATTAGGAACAAGGCAAGGATATCTGCTCTCACCTATCTTATTCAAAATAGTGCTGGAAGTTCTAACAATGCCATAAAGCAAGAAAAGAAAAGGAAACATATATAAATCAGAAAGGAATTAATGAAACCATCCCTATATACAAATGACATGATTATCTGTATAGAAAATCCCAAGGAATATAAACCCAAAATCTAGAACCAATAAGGCAATCAGCAAAGTCACAGAATAAAACAGAAACATACAAAAATCAGTTATAGACCTATATACTAGAAATGGACATTGAAATTGAAAATGCAATACCATTTACAATTGCTTATTTTAACTGTAAATTTGAGTTGAAATTTATGTAACAAAATATCACCATTTTAAAGTGAACAATATAGTGACATTTAATTCATTCACAATGTATGTACCCATTACCTCTATCTACTACAAAAATATTTTCATCATTCCCAAAGAAAACTACATACTCATTAAGCAGGTACTGCTCATTTCTCCCTTCTTTAAGCCCCTGGTAACCACCAATCAGCTTTCTGTCTATATGGATTTAGGTATCTGTATAATTAATATAAATGGAACCATAAAATATGTGACCTTTTGTATGGCTTCTCTCACTTAGTTTAATGTCTTCAAAGTTCATCCACACTGTAGCATGTATCAGTATTTCATTCCTTTTTAGGGTTGAATAATATTCTGTCATGTGAGTATACCACAATTTGTTTATCCATTCATCCACTGATGGACATTTGGAATATTTTCACCCTTTGGCCATTGTGAATAGTGCTATTATGAACATTTGTGTACACATGTTTGAGTATCTCTTTTCAATTATTATGGGGTCATACCTAGCTCATATGGTAATTCTATATTTAACTTTTTGAGGAATCCCCAAACTGTTTCCCATATAGGCTGAACCATTTTACATTCCTATCAGCACTATATACAATCACTTAAAAAAAAAAAAAGGAAATACTTAAGTGTAACTTTTATAAAACATGTGCAGGACTCGTAAGCTGACAACTATAAAACACTGATAAAAGAAATCAAAGAAAATCTAAATAAATGGAAAGGCATACAATGTTCATGGATTGGAAGATTCAACTTCCAATAGTAAAGATGTTAATTCTCCCCTAAATTAATATAAAAGTTTAACAAAATATCTATCCAAATCCCAGCATGATTATTTTTCTAAAATTTATATGGAAAATCAAGGGAACTAGCGTAGGTAAAACAATTTTGAAAAATAAGAATATAATGAGAGGAATTACTCTACCCAATTTTCAGACTGTGTATATTTTCCAAAGGGATAGATACATAGATCAATGGAACAGAACAGAGGACTCAGAAACAGACCAACACAAATATACCCAGCTGATTTTTGGCAAAGATGCAAAGGTAGTTTAACAGATGAATTAGCCTTTTCAATGAATGTTATTGAAGCAGCTATTGGATATACATAGGCAAAAGAAAAAAAAAGCAGAAAATTAACCTGACCCCTAAGTATCACACCTTATATAAAAAAATTACCTCAAAGTGGATCATGGGCTTAAATGTCTGACATACAATTATAAAAATTTTAGGTTAAAAAGAAAAAACATAGTAAAAAAATCTTTGTGATCTAGGGCTTGTCAAAGAGTTCTTAGATATGACACCAAAAGCATGGTCCATAAAAGGAAGAAATGATAAATTGGATTTCATCAAAATTAAAAACCTTTGCTCTGGTAAAGACCCTAATAAAAGAATAAAAGGACAAGCTAGGGATGGGAGAAAATATTTGCAAATCAAATATAGAATTCAAAAGTCAACAGCTACAAAGCAAACAATTCAATTAGAAAACAAAGAAGAGACACGAAGATACATTTCACCCAAGAGGAGATATAGATGGCAAACAAGTATGTGAAAAGATGTTCAACATTAATAGCAAAGTAAAACCCCAATTACATATACTAGTACTATACATCTATCACAATTGCTAAAATAAAAAATTGTTATAGCATCAAATGCTGGTGAGCATGCTATGAAACTGGATTACTCATACATTGCTAGCAGGAATGTAAAATGGTACAGTTACTCTGGAAAATAGTTTGGCAGTTTCTTAAGAAACTGACCTAGCAGTTGAACTCCTGGGAATTTATCTCAGGGAAATGAAAACTTATGTTCAACATAAACTGGTACATGAATGTGTATATAGCAGCTTTATTTATAATAGCCCCAAACTGGAAACAACCCAGATGCCCTTCAACACGTGAATGCTTAAACAAACTGTGGTAATCTATACCGTGCAATACTACTTAGTAATAAAAAGGAAAGAACTATTGATACACGCAACAACGTGCATAAATCTTCAGGGAATTATGCTGAGTGAAAAAAATCTAGCCCAAAATGTTATATAATGTCTGATTCGATTTACGTAACATTCATGAAAGGAAAAATTATAGAAATGGGTAACAGATTAGTGGTTTTCAGAGGTTAAGGAAGGGGTAAGGTGGTATAAAGGACAGCATGAGGGATCTTTGTGGTGATGAAGATGGTTTGTATCTTGACTGTATTAATGTTCATGTTCTAGTTGTAATATTATACTATAGCTTTACAAGATGTTACCATTAAAATTGGATTAAGGGTACATGGATCTCTCTGCATTATTTCTTACAACTGGATGTGAATTTACAGTGATCTCAAAATAAAAAGTTTAAAAACAAACCCAAAATAACTGTGTATAAAATATTTTCTAAATGATGCAATCACCAAAGATCAGGAGACTATTAGAAATGATCAAGAAAACTACAAATAGAACCCCCCAAATTTTAATATATTATTGTTAAAATCAAGAACTTAAATAGTATATTAGTTACCCATTGTTACTATAATAAACTATTACAAATTTAGTGTCCTAAAATAACACAATGTATTATCTTATGGTTCTGGAAGTCAGAATTCCAAAACGGGTCTCACTGGGCTAAAATCAAAGTGTCAGCAGGATTGCATTCCTTCTGGAGGGCCTACGGAAGAGTCCATTTCCTTGCCTTTCGCAGCTTCTAGAAGCTACCTGCATTCTATGGCTTATAGTCCCATCCCTCTATCTTCAAAGCCAGCAATCTAGACCTTCTCAGGCTATTATCTCTCTGTCTTTCTCTTCTGCCTACTTCCTCCACTTATTAGGACCCTTGTGATTACATTGGGCCCACCTGGGGAATCCAGGATAAGTTCCCTATCTCGAGCTCAGCTAATTACCAACTTTAAACTCATCTGTAACCTAAGTTCTCCCTTGTCATAGTCACAGGTTCCAGGTTTAGGACATGGATATCATTGGGTGACTGCTAATCTGCCTGCTGTAGGTGGGTTAAAAAGCAAATTAACCATCTACAAAGTAATTATTGAGTCAAAGACAGAACTGAAGTTACTAAGAATGCAGCCAGAGAAACAGGATATGGAAAATATAAATGAGGGGTTAAAAGACATGGAAGATAAACTTCAGGATCCTAGAGGGGAAAAAATTAGAAAAATTGTCTAATTTTCCCACCAGAGGTTCATATAAGGATAAAATGGAAGAATTAGTATCCTAGCCTTCATTTTGGTGTACAATGCACATTGTATTTCATCAATTTTATGTTTGCAAAGTTTCACTTTTGATTTAGGAACATAACTTTCCTTTTTCTCAGAAAGCTGTTGTTGACGGGAATTTTAATATTCCTGAGTAATAGTGATCATATGATTAAATGAATCGACATACCTTATGTAGTCCTTCCTCACTTAAAACGTTTAACAAATATTTTATTGGGGGAAATTTATTAGTATGTTAAAAACTCCTTTACAAGTCATTACGGCCTATGCATAGAATATAAAATGTACACTGCCAAGAACAGATTTATGGCCAGGAAAAAGCTTAGATTCCAAAAAAGTATAAATTGAAATATATGCTCTGCTAGAAAAAAGGCGATTACTTTTAGCTAGATTTCACCCGGACTACGTGTCACGTTTTAACAATTTTTACCATCACGTCCAGGCGTTGGCTCTGGTTGCTGGGTTGGCACTTTCAGGGGGACTGGCCTGGGCCGAGGCCGTGTCAGAATCCGCACGACGACCGGTTCCCCAGGGTGTCGCCCTGGGCGAGCTCCGCGGCCTGCCCATTCGGCCCTGCGCGGCGGCGCCGGCCGCCCGTCCCCTGCGCAGGGCGCCCCTCGGGGCTGCAGGGGGCGACTCTCTGCGAGCCTCCCACGCCCCAGCCGGGCGCGCGGCCGCCCCGCGGGACCCTGCCCGCCCCGCCCCGCCCCGTCGCGGCCTCTCCCAGCGGCCGGCGAGCTCCGGGGCGCGGCCAGAGGCGGCTGCGGCTGCCCTCCCGCCAGTTCCCGTTCCGGGCCTGCGAGGCGGCCGCGCCCGCCCTGCCCTGGCGCAGTTGCGGGCCTGGAGCGCTCCCTCCCCGGCCCGGGCTCTTACGCTCGCTTCTCGCTGCTGCGAAGTCTGCAAAGCTGGAGGCCAAGTAAGTCCCAGCGACTGGGGCTGCGCGGGGCCGACGCTCTCTGGGGTCCCGGCGCCGCGGGCGCGGAGCTGGCGGGAGGCGGGATCTGCGCGGGCGGCGTGCAACAAGGCGAGGAGGCCCGGCAGTTTGAGAAACGGCGCCAAAGTTCAGAGGGATGAGCTTCAGCTTCCACGGGCTCGTGGTCTAAGGCAAGGGTTCTCAATCCTTCCAGCACCTTAGAATCACCTGGGGAACTTCTAAAATCCAGATTCCGAGCCGGCAACCTAGATCAACTCCATCAGAATGCCTAAGGGTAGGACCCAGGCCCCTGTGCCATTTTACACCTCCCGGTGCAGCCAGGGTTAGGGAGCAGAGACCAAAAGGTGCCAGCAAGAGAAGGTAAAGGGCCGACAGGGGCCTTCATGGAGTCCCGCCTGCAGACGGGCCAGCTGCCTCCAGGGTCCTGCTTGGCCCTGCGGACGCGGTGAGAACTTCCCTGGGGTTTCATGGGCCACAAAGTAGACAGATGAGAGGATGCTTGGCAGGAACCCCTGAATATCATATTCGAAAAAGCCCCCGATGTGCACACGGTTTTTTGGCACATTGTGAAGAACATTATGAAATGACAGATTATGATGCCCCATTGGTTCTGCATTCTGGGAAATGACTCCATTGTTTGATAGTTGAAAGTAAATCTGGGGAAGCCAGTAAACCCACGGTCTTGATGACTTCTGCGCTTTCTGTTTTAAGGCTGAAGCCAGTAGCTGTGCTTGCCAGAGGGTGGGGTTTGCCCTCCCTAAAAGCCCCCTGTTTGAGATTTACCTATCATGTTCAGGTAAGAGTAACTCCACCATGCATGTTAGAGGGGAGTGGATTCCTTGTTCTCACCTGGGGGTAGATGCCAGGGGCAGGTGCCTGAAATACAGGCAAGCTGGGCCATTGACAAGGGACAGGCTTCTACTGAATATGCTGGACGGGTAAGCAAGGTGTATTTAAAACACACAGCGGAGGAGTAGAAGAAAGGTCTTTCAAAAGTTGCGAGAAGAGTAGGGTTTTTTTTTTTTGTTTTTTTTTTTATGGAATGAAGAAATAAGTTCAAGCTTTGAAGCGCTAAGCGTGGGTCCAAAACTGGGTCTAAGTTCAGATTCCATATGTGACTTTGGGCAAGTTCCTTGGCCTCTCTGATCCCCTGTTTTCTTACATGTGAAACAGGCATAAAATATTGACTATCTTCTGGGGTTAACATCGCTCAGTAGGCTAACATATATCAAACTCCTGGCAGTGTGGGTGGTACTGGCAGGTGCCCTGTCAGTGGTTGCCAACCACAGTAGTGGCAGTGTGTGTGTGTCCAACAGTTGTTCATTTCGTACAGCCACTGTGGGAGAGAGTGTTTGTCCAGAAAATGTGCACCTGAAAGCTCCATCCCCTGCTGCTCCCCTACCCTGCTGTCCTGCTGGGGGGGCGGGGCAGTGCTCTGTGCCCCTCAGGCCTCTGGGTGCTTCGAGGTCTGGGATCTTAGGCTGCTAGCCCCACCACCTGGGGCTTATTAATAGCTCTGGAATACAGTTTTACTCCATGTAGAGAGTGAATTTTTTGACAAAAGAAAGCTGTCTTTAATCTTGAGACTTCCTCCAACCCATCACCACATTTATCAAAAAATGGCCTCCCAAGCAAGCCGAGCTGTGGACAGGGTCTCGGAATTGATGTGGACACGCACATGTGGCTCCCTTGCTGGGAGCATCCTCGGACCACACCCCTGATCTTCCTGTTTTGTTGCTGACTCTTGGCCTAGGGGTAATCTTCCTTTCATGGCCAAGGGCAGCCAGGAATCTGGGGATGGGAGAACTCAGATTCTACAATTGCTGATATCTGCGTCCCGCTGAAACTTGCACCTGGTACCCACTCTGTGCATCATAGACAGTCACTTTGATAGTAACAGCACACTGTTTAGATTAGACATTAGCACTGTAAACAGTGAAATAATGTTGGCATAAAGACCAAGTGCTTTTATAGTTTATGTGTGATCACAGATATATACTTAAACAAGAATATCAAAGTCTTATCTGTTATCCAAAGAAAAGGGTTCAATATTTGTTCAAAATCTAAGATATATACATAGGATTTCAGGTTAAGTTACTAATTTTTTCTACCATTTTTTGGGAGGGAGATTTTAGACTAATTTAAAAAGCTACAATTTGTACTTTTGCTGATTTTTTGTCATGCAGAAGCTGTAGATAATTTTGCAAGTTTTCAGAAGTCCTGCTTGCTTTTATCTTCTGGGGAAAGTGAGTTGCGTGTCACACAAAGGGCCTCCTTTCACGTATCCACAAGGTCTGAACTTGTTTCTAAAAAAACTCTTTAGCGCATCAAGTGCTCATTGAGAGCAGGTGTTTCTTCCAAACTTGACTCTTGTGGTAAGAGGTGAGCAGTCACTGGCATTTTAATTAATTGATGGTTTTTACCCAGTGCTAGAAAGTTTGTTCAAGCAGGACTTCCTGGCTTGAACTCTTATTTAAATTTGTGTTTTATCTAGAACTGCCACAGACCAAACTGTGGGCAGAGATTACTGTGCAAGGTTGGCCAAGGCAAGCCGGCCACCCTCCCTCCCCTATGCCGTCCCCCTAGTCTCTGGAGCCATTGAGCCAGTGGGGATGGTCCCTCTCTGAGGTACCTTTAACGTGGCAGAGTTCTCTGAGAAGGGATTCTCATGTTTCGAGGCAACTAGCAATTTTGTGTTACACTTCATTAGAATTGCCAGGTTACTCTCCTGTGCAGTGCCACTTTGGAATTTGTTTTGCTGAGGGGTCATTTTTCTCTAGATTATAGAACACTGTAGTTTAAAGAATTAATAAATAGGTCAACATAAGGGCCCAGGTAATTAATTGTAAAGTGAGCACCAGATTTTGGTAGATTGATATTTTAATGAAATATGAAAAACAAACCACTATTCTATATTTGTTTCAGATTGTTGATGTCCCTTGCCCTTTGTTGTATCATTGCCACCGTACAGCTTAGGGCAAGGCAAATTGGGAGGATGTAGTCACTTGGTGGATATTTTCAGAGCCACATGCGACTGGGTAGGGCAGTCGCATGTTGCTAAGGGAACTCCTTACATGGTAGAAGAGCTATGAGCAGATGATGATTTGCTTGGGAGGATATTTGCATTGTTCTAATTCCCAAAAGATTAAAGGTCTAATGACTGAGAACCTACCATGCTTCGTTGTAGCACATTCCCAAATTGCTGTCTATGACCTCAAAACCAAACCTCCTGGAAGGAACTGGATGGAAAGCCAGGCTTTTCTTTGGGGATATCCTAACTTCTGACAATTCAGTCCTGGACTCCATTCGCCAAGGCAGTGTTTTATATTTAACATGAAATCAGGCATGTTGCCGATGTCAAGTGGAGCTATGAGATCTATGATGTGTACCAGGCAGGCAGGACTTAAATGGCAGCAACAAAGGGTTTGGGAGTCAGAAGTGGGATCAAGTCCCTACTTTGTTCCTTCACTAGCTGTGTGACCTCAGCCAGGATATTTAACCTCTCCAGCTCTGTGTAAAATAGTGCCCTCCTGTGTAAAATAGTTATAATAATTCTTCCCTTGAAGGGTGGTTTTGAGTATTTGATGAGCTGATCTGTGCAAAGCACTCAGCACACCACCTGGCTCACAGTGAGTAGTGGTGATTAGTATGGTCACAATGATTTTGATAACTACTTTGGTCCCAGTGCTAATCTTGCCACCTCCCAGTTGTGTGACTTTGGATAAGGGTCCAAATCCTCATGAGCCTCAGCTTTTGTACCTGTAGAATGGAGATTAACTCTACCTGTCTGGAAGGATTGGTTTGAGGCTTGATTTGATTAAATGAAATGATGATGGGTCTGATCTGGTAGACCCTAAATAATAATAGCATTTACATAGACCTATTGTGTGCCACATTGGTCTAAGGGCTTTAGGTTTTTTGTTTGTTTTTAGCTCATTGAATCTTCCCACGAAATCTATGTAGTAGTTATCATTTCTCCCCATTTTACAGATGAGACAAGTGAGGCTCAACAAGATTAAATAACTAACCCAAAGTCAAAGACAGTGAGACCTATGCACAGGACTTGAAGCAGAGACCCTATTCTTGCCCACTGCCCCATACGCTCAGCAAGGGCCCCTCCCTCCCTGCTCACTCTGCCTGCTCCCCCCCCAGATGGTGCACATCTCACTCATTATGTATGTATATCCCCCCCCCCCCCCCCTCCTGTAATTAACAGATGGATGTGCTTATGCTCCGTATAGAGCCATATTTCTGGAAACAGGGCCCCAGCTTCCAAAGAACTGCCTGCTTATAAAGTGAAAGTGGGAGCTCCTCCTTCCTGCCCCACCCCACATAACTCAGATTTCAACCATTGCTTATACTGGTTGATCTAATATCAACTGAAAAAAAAAAAAACAACCCAGTCTCCTGATACTGGCATTGATTAACCTTATTAAGGTGGATTACCATGTTTGTTTTGAGATAAATGTCATCTCAGTGCACTGAGATCATTGGCCTGGGCGTAGTAAAGCATGCCTTCACCCAGACAGGTGTGTGGAGTGTTTCAGGAGACAGAAACCAGGCCTACGTGTTCCCAGGATGGGGCTCAGGTGGACAGTGACAATATTTACAACAATATTCCACCAAAGGTACAGTGGCCCTTTCTAAGCACACCACCTTTTTGGAAATTCCTTACTCATCTTCTCTCTCCTTTATGCTCCTGTGGCTTTTGTCTTTTCTTAAGACCTGGCGATCTTTTCAGAGGTCTGGGTCAAGGGAACTGGGGTGGCCGGGGAGGTGAGGGGGGAAAGATAGTCTCAATTGAGTGAGTTGTGGGTACTTTTGCATTTCTGATAATGAGGTGGAAATTGTTTTTCTGCCTTTCCCATGTGGGGGAAATGCTTTACTGGCTCTGTTAGAAAGCCATTTGTAAAGACTATACTTTCAGGGATCATTTCTATAGTCCGTTACTAGAGAAGTTTCTCTGAACGTGTAGAGTACAGAAAGCCATTTGTAGCTCCTGGTTCCTCTTGGCTCTTTGGGGCTTCAGTTCTGTGACACATCAACTCAACAGATATTATCAGAAGACCTTGCTGGTGCCAGGAGTCTAAGTCCTTGGATTAAAGCAATGAATAACACAGACCCAGCCTCTGATCAAATGGAGTTTGCAGGCTACTGGGTGATGGCTTAGCTCCAGCTGCTAAAGCAAACTCTCATAGCTTGGGTGGCTTAAGCAATGAACATTTTTTCTCACCACTGTGCAGGCTGGAAGTGTGAGATCAGAGTGCCAGGCATGGTCTGGTGTGGTGATGGCCTGCTTCCTGGCATGCAAGAGAGCTCTCTCCTGTCCCTTCCTACAAAGGCACTAATCCCATCATGGGGGCTTCCCCTCTATGATCTCATCTAACCCTAACCACCTCCGGAAGCCCCACCTCCAAACACCATCGCATTGGGGATAAAGGCCTCAACATATGAACTTCGGGGAGACACAAACATTTGGTCCATAAGGGGAGGTTGGCAGGGGAAGGGGTTAAACACTTAAGTAAATACGTACTTATAAATTGTGGAAAGTCCTTTAAAGAAAAACAAGCACATGTCATGAGACAGAGATCAGAGCCATGCTAGGACTATGGGAGCCTGGGGATGTCGCTCTAGGAATGAGCCTTTTCCACTAGGACTTGGGGGAGGGGTAAAAAAAGGAGTGAAATTGTGCCGGATGCAGGGAACAGCATGATTAAAGGCCCAGAGTGGGGATGAACTGAGTGTGTAGAGTAACGGAAAGGCCGGCGTGGTAAGGTCTGAGCCCAGGAGGGGACCGAGAGGCACTGAAGAATGAATCAAGCTCAAGTTGAGCAGGGCCTGGGCTGGGTGAGGACGTGGAATTTTATCCTAAAGTGCAGTGAGAAGCCACTGAGGAATCCCCACCCCTGCCTTTTGCCTACATTAGTAATCTACTAGAAAAAGATAATTAACAACCTATGTTTATTAAGCCTTAAAAACCTTGTCTTACTTAATGTGTGAAACTATTCTGAAGATAGACATGATGGTTTTCAATTTCCAGGTGCAGGAAATGATGCTCAGAACAAAGGGAAAGAAGGCAGAACCCGGATTTGGAGCCAGGTCTGTCTGGCCCACAGTACCTGCTCTGTGGCTTTCTGGGATGGAGGGGTGCAAATGGATGTGGTCCTCCTAGGTGCCCAGCATCCAGGTCAGGAGCCCCAATGAACGGACTCAGGTGGAGTCTGGCCCTTCCTGGCTCCTTGGAAGCAGGAACAAAAGACCCCAAAGAGTGGAGGGAGGCTGGGAGTACACGTGTCAGGGAGTCAGGGTTTACAGGCACTCCATGCCAGGAACCCCTGGCTAATGAAAGGGCCATCAGACGGTTTTTCATGTTAGTCTGTTCTGCTTCCTCTGACTGTTGCCCAGAAGTCCTGCAAAGGGTGCTTTCCCTTTGAAATTTGGAATTCATCTACTGGGAATTTGCATACACTTGGGAGGCACGCACAGGGTTTGGAAAAAAGAAATTGTTTATTTGGAGCTTTCAGTTCACAGGAAAAGCACCCACCATGCGAGGCCAAGCCCTTAGCATGGCAGGCCAGCTTGCTTCTGCGCTGACCCTCTTTCCCCTCCCTCGCCGTGCAGCTGTCCTGTGGTCACAGCGTGAGAGGTGTGGGTAGGTCAAGTGTATCTTGGCTGGTTGGGCGGGCCTTCCCCACAAGATAGGGCCTCACTTGGGGACGAGAGCAATGCTGGCCCAGGATGTGCGGTCTGTGGGGAGGACAGTTTAGGGGATATGGTTTTGTCATCTTCTCTATCTCTTAATTAATGCCCCCGAGAGTCACCGTACATACATCCACATACTCCCCCACTTGGCTCTGTGATAGATTTGTGTCTCAGATGCTTGCTGACTGTGGTTACATGTTCAAGTGCAGTTAATAAAAGTCTTCAGCTAAGCATTTTGGCCAGCAATCAGCAGAGTGTTAATTTGCTCAAGGCCAAGTTTCAACTCAGCGTCTGTGGTGACTAATATGTTTTGTTCTTGTGGAGTGCTTTTTGTTTGAGAAGCCCTAGACATTTTCTGTGCCACCTAAATTTCTAAATGCCACCTCCAGATGTCCTCCGGGTTCCAGATCTGCCACTTCTGTGGCACTTTCTTTTGCATAAACACTCCAACTGTCTTACGGAGTTCCAGGAACTGGGTTTCAGATTCAAGACTCCTTTGTTTTCTGTTGGCCTTCTTTATTAAGATATTTTTATTCACTGGCCTTTCAGAGATGAATATCAAGCATGGTGTTTTTGGAACTTTGTTTTCCAAAGCCTGGATAAAACTAGGAAAATGTTGGGTAGTAGATGATTAAGTGCCAATCGATTTTACAGACAATGCTTCGGACATTGAGCGCTGGGCTCTGGTTAACCTTTAAAAGGCCACAGTTAATATAAATAAATGCCTTAGAGCAATAGAAAATAATAGTGATTCAAATCTGAATTTATCCACTGATAAACTTAGTGATATTTCCTAAGTGAGCCTGTGAATTATGGAAATCCACATGTCAGTGGGCATGATGGAAAATCTACCATGTGCCCTGGGCTAGAGTCATTCATTCGACAGTTTTATCCAGCAACTTCTATGTGCTGGAGATACAGCGACTCACCAAATGGACAACCATCCCTTGCTGTCAGACGATGGGCCTCAAAGATGACCAGACACCCACATGACACTCGTGGGTCATGGCAAGTGCTTCCTTTGTGACTAGTGCTGTTGTAAACACCATATGTATATGGTTGCATCCCCATAGAAACCCTTTGAGGTAGTGCTATTATTATCTGCACTTATGGATAAGAAAACTGAAACCCAGTGGGGCAGCGTTATTTGCCCAAATCCCACAGCCAGTGAGCGGAACCAGGTAGCTTGGTTTCAGGCTGTGCCCTTCACTGCCGATTGATGTGAACGGAGAATGATCCATTTAGGAAACAAAGTGCCATGTCCTCTGAGAGAGGTGGATTTAAAGTACCATGGGAGTTCACAGTGGGGACAGATGGGCTTCGGGGAGGGACAGGGTGAGGTGGCAGCCCTGACCTTTCCCCACTGGCACAGGTGTCAGTCCCTGCTGGGGGGGTGGGGGAGGTTCCAGAGGGGGTTACGCTAGCCAGAAGTAAACCAAGGAAGCAACTGCCTCAGTGCCAGGACACCTGGGTTCTAGTTTTGGTTGATACCGACAAGTCTCTGCCCTGCCCAGAGCCTCATTTTCCTCATCTCTAAAATGGGCGTGTTGAATAACATTCCACTGGACTCCAGGGTTTCAACAGAGAGGGGATGGGCTGGCTCTCTGTGCATTCCACACAGGGTTTCTTGACCAGAAGAGGTTGTTGTTAGGCTCTGAGGGATGAGGGGGCAGACGTTTGATTTCCCAGAAGGCTCAGGCAGCCGTGAGGGGTGTCTGCATTCTGGGGTGGTCCCACCCGAGTGCTGACGTCACTGTGTCTGTCTTCCTTCCTTTGTAGTCAGGGTGGCAGTGTCTGCCTGTCTGGGGTTCACATGATGTGGCACTTTCAGCTGAAAGAGAGAACGGGAGAGAGGAGGGAGGGGAAGGAAGCGGGAGGGAAAGACAGGAGATATGATGGAGAGGACTGACCAACTTCTATCTGCCTTGAAATTCTGAGGGATTAAGTGCTTTCAGATACTTAAAGTAAATGAATGTTAATGGTGTTTAAAAGCTTCAAATAATAATTGTAGCTTCCTCCATCTGCTAAATTTTATCCAGAGAGGGCTGTCAGTAGTTTTCTGCTATGGCAAAGGCATCCAAGACTAGGCTCATTTTCCAGGTTAAGTTCCTTGGGAAATTGAAAACAAAACAAGGAAAACAAGTAGACACCAAAAAAAAAAACCACAGATTTTTGTGGAGTATACAGCAGGGAGAGTAGGACCCGGTTTGAGTTGACCCATTGTGTGTGTTCTCTGCGCAGCTCTGTCAATATTATATAAAAATGCGCTCGGTCTTAGTTTCCTGCGAGGTTGCTGAGGGGTGGGTCAGTCCACCTGCCTCACTCCTGGGCAACTTGAAGAATGGCGGAGCCTTGTTCACACCATCACCCTGAATATCCAAGTGGTTCCTGTCAACAAATACTTCTTCACTTGTAAGACTTGAAGGCTGTGTATTAAATTCACCAAAATGAATCTTATTCAAGAGAGAAGTAACTTATTGAGGGAGAATCCAGATACTATCCTCAGCATTCGTGGATATGGGTGTTCACGTTATGCTGGGGGTTATGGTCAGGTTGGTGGAGCCTATTCTGACCTGCATTTTGCAATCTGGGTAATAACATCTCTGAGGTAGGCAAGTGTCTACCTGAGGTAGACAGGAAATGATGGCTTTATTTTACCTTATTTTAGTTCAGTAAATATATAGCAACCATCTATTCCTATTGTCTGGGGCAGTGGTGGACAGAATGGTTTAGAAGCCAATATTGTGTAGCGTGGGTTATGGTGTCGCCAGAGGTGGTGTTTGCCAGTTAGACTTTAGTGAAAGGATGTGATGTGTGCGTGTGTGTGTGTGTGTGTGTATTAATAGTAGAGATGGGGTCTCGCTCTTGCTCAGGCTGGTCTCGAACTCCTGGGCTCAAACAATCCTCCCGCCTTGGCCTCCCAGAGTACTAGGATTACAGGCGTGAGCCACCAAACCCAGCCTAAGGATGTGCTTTTTATTTATTTATTTATTTTTATTTCAGCATATTATGGGGGTACAGATGTTAAGGTTACGTATATTGCCCATCCCCCACTCCCCCCCTTGAGTCAGAGCTTCAAGCGTGACCATCCCCCAGACATTACACATCTCACTCATTGTGTTTGTGTATACGCATCCCCTCCTCCCTCCTCCCACCCTCGCTACACCAGATAAATGTTACTCCTATATGTCCACTTAGGTGTTGATCCGTTAATACCAATTTGCTGGTGAGTACATGTGGTGCTGGTTTTTCCATTCTTGAGATACTTCACTTAGTAGAATGGGTTCCAGCTCTATCCAAGAACATATAAGAGGTGCTATATCACTATTGTTTCTTAAAGCTGAGTAGTACTTCACGGTATACATATACCACATTTTATTAATCCACTCATGTATTGATGGGCACCTGGGTTGTTTCCATAACTTTGCAATTGTGAATTGTGCTGCTATAAACATTCGAGTGCAGGTGTCTTTTTCATAAAGTGACTTTTGATCTTTTGGGTAGATGCCCAGTAGTGGAATTGCTGGATCAAATGGTAGATCTAGTTGTATTGCTTTGGGGTATCTCCATATTGCTTTCCACAGAGGTGGAACTAGTTTGCAGTCCCACCAGCAGTGTAGGAGTGTTCCTATCTCTCTGCATCCACACCAACATTTATTGTTTGGGGACTTTTTGATAAAGGCCATTCCCACTGGAGTTAAGTGATATCTCATTGTGTTTTTTATTTGCATTTCCCTGATGAATAGAGATGTTGAGCATTTTTTCATATGTTTGTTGGCCATTATTCTGTCTTCTTTTGAGAAGTTTCTGTTCATGTCCTTTGCCCATTTTTTGATAGGGTTGTTTTATTTTTTCTTGCTGATTTTCCTGAGTTCTAAGTAGATTCTAGTTATCAGCCCTTTATTAGATGTGTAGCTTGTGAAAATTTTCTCCCATTCTGTGGGTTGTCTGTTTGCTCTCTTGACAGTTTCTTTGGCTATGCAGAAGATTTTTAATTTTATCAGGTCCCATTTATTTATTTTTGTTGTTGCTGTGATTGCCTTTGGAGTCTTCTTCATAAATTCTTTGCCTAGGCCAATGTCTAGAAGAGTATTTCCAACATTTTCCTCTAGAATTCTAATAGTTTCACACCTAAGGTTCAAGTCTGTTACCCAGCATGAGTTGATTTTTGTGAGAGGTGAAAGGTGTGGGTCCTGTTTCAGTTTTCTGCATGTGGCTATCCAGTTTTCCCAGTACCATTTATTGAATAAGGATTCTTTTCCCCAGTGTATGTTTTTGTCTGCTTTGTTGAAGATTAATTGGCTATATGAGGATGGTTTTACATCTGGGTTTTCTGTTCTGTTCCACTGGTCAATATTCCTGTTCTTGTGCAAATGTAAAGATGTTTTAATTACTATAGCCTTGTAGTATAGTTTGAAATCTGGTAAACTGATACCTCCTATTTTGTTTTTATTGCCTAGGATTGATTTTGCTATATGGGGTCTTCTCTGGTTCCATAAGAAGCGTAAAACTATTTTTTCTATATCTGTGAAAAATGATGATGGTATTTTAATAGTGTTTGCATTGACTCTATAGGTTACTTTGGATAGTATAGATATTTTAACAATGTTGATTCTGCCAACCCATGAACATCAGCAAAGGGTGAGAGTTTGATCTCTTCTGTTCCCATTTGGATGCCCTTAATTCTGCTCTCTTGTCTGATTGCTGTAGCAAGGACTTCCAGCACTATGTTGAATAGAAGTGGAGATAGTGGGCAACCTTGTTTTGTTCCAGTTTTAAGTGGGAATGCTTTCAATTTTTTCCCATTCAGTATGATATTGGCTATGGGTTTGTCATATATGGCTTGTATCATTTTTAGGTAAGCCCCGTCTATGCCTATTTTGTTGAATGTTCTTATCATAAAAAGGTGTTGGATTTTGTCAAATGCTTTTTCTGCATCTATTGAGAGGATCATATGGTCTTTGTTTTTGCTTCTGTTTATATGATGAATTACGTTTATAGATTTGAGTATGTTGAACCATCCCTGCATCCCTGGGATGAAGCCCACATGGTTGTGATGGATTATTTTCTTGGCAAGCACCTGGATTCAATTGGCTAGGATTTTGTCGAGAATTTTTGCATCTATATTCATAAAGGATATTGGTCTGTAGTTTTGTTTTTTTGTTGCATCCTTTCCTGGTTTTGGTATCAGGGTTATGTTCGCTTCATAAAATGTGTTGGGGAGGATTCCATCTTTCTCGATGTTGTAGAATAATTTATGTAGAATAGGCACCAGTTCTTCCTTATAGGTGTGATAAAATTCAGATGTGAAACTTTTCTTTTTAGGAAGGATTTTTATTGCTGTTTCAATTTCAGTACTTGATATTGGTCCATTCAGAAATTCTATTTCTTCCTGGTTGAGCCTAGGGAGGCTGTGTGTTTCTAAGAATTTGTCCATTTCCTCCACATTTTCCAGTTTGTGTGCATAGAGGTTTTTGTAGTATTCATAAATTATATCTTGTATCTCCGGGGCATCAGTTGTAATTGCTCCTTTATTGTTCCCGATAGAGCTTATTTTTTGATTTTTGATTTTTTGATTTTTCTTTTCTGCTTTTTAGTCTAGCCAAAGGTGTGTCAATATTGTTTATTTTTTCAAAGAACCAACTTTTTGTTTTATCAACCTTCCATATGGTTTCCCTGTTGTCAATTTTGTTTAGTTCTGATTTGATCTTAATCATTTCACTTCTTCTGCTCGGTTTGGGGTCGGTCTGTTCTTCTTTTTCCAGCTCTTTGAGATGATTCATTAGGTTGCCTATTTGTGATCTTTTTGACTTTTGGATATAGGCATTTGTGGAAATAAAGCAGTCCTTTCAGGACTGCTTTAGCTTTGTCCCACAGGTTTTGGTAACTTGTGTCTCCTTTGTCATTTAGTTCAAAAAATCTTTTGATTTCCATCTTTATTTCCTTGTTTATGAAGTGATCATTCATCAGAAGGTTGTTTAGTTTCCATGACTTTGTGTAGAAATGAGGACTCCTGTTAGGCTTGATTTCTACATTTATTCCATTGTGGTCTGAAAAGATACATGGTATAATTTCTATTTTTTTAAATTGTTTGAGACATGCTTTGTGTCCTAGGATATGGTCGATCTTAGAGAATGACCCATGAGCTGATGAGAAGAACATATATTCAGTGGTTTTGGGAAAGAATGTCCTATAAATGTCAGTCAGGCCCATTTGTTCTAGAGTTCTGTTTAAGTCCATTATTTCTTTGTTGATTTTCTGTTTGGAGGATCTGTCCTGTGCTATCAGCGGGGTATTAAAGTCTCCGACTATTATGGTGTTGTTGTTTATTCATTTGTTTAGATCAAGTAGAGTTTCCGTATTCCCTGGATGCCAGCAAAGCTGGTCTTGGTTTTGTTTATGTTTGCATTGGTTTCCAACCTATACATATGCAGAAAGTATGGGCAGCAGAAATGGTTATAGAATGGCCTGACTACTTAGAGTTCACTGTTTAAAAAAATCTTTGGGTTGCAACTCTGAGTTAGTATCTGCTCCATTGTTAAAGAATGTTTCACTGACTAGGACTCAGATCAGTTAAGAATATTATCTGCTGGTGTTGCAACACCAGTTTGTGGAAAGCCGTGTCATTTATTTGGAAATATAAAAATTAAAAAAGTGAATGATGATTCCCAACAATTGAGTTTCTGAGAAAAGAGTAAAGTCATAGGCTGGTGCGGGTGATGGGAAGTGATTTCCTTGAGGTCTCTGGTTTCCATCTAGCCTGCGTCTGTTGGGGTGACAGCCACGTGCTTCTGTCTGCTCGTCCTGGGAGTGCACACACACAGTCGCATTGTAGGCGGGGTGACCTCTGCACCCGGGCTGTGCTGGATGGTTCCATACACAATGAAGGGGACCGTGTTTGCTAGTGTTTTGCAGGGAGCAGGGGCACACCGAGGTGCTCTCTGTTCGTAGACTTTATTCTACGGCTACACGAAATGAGGGAGGCCACTCCTGGGGCGCCTCAGCAGCGGGGAGCCCTGGCCCACCACTCCCCTGCTGTGGGTTATTGCTACTTGGTGTTTCTCTGGGCGTCTCAAATTCAAACCCCCAAGGGAGAGGAGCCCTAACCACTTCTTCCTGTCACCTTCTGCTACAGAGGGCTGCCGATCGTGGTGGCGGGAGCCCAGGGAAGCCCTGGAGACAGCTGTCACCTCTCCTGCTCTCCCCATTCATGTCTCGTTCTGCACACTCACCACACTTGCCATTCCTCCTTCCGAGGGCGGGGAGCTACGTAAACTCTGGCGCCTCCGATTCCTCTTTTGTAAATTGGCGGTGACGATGAGCTCTGCCACCGAGGGTTGTTGTAAGGATCGAGTGAGACAATAGAAAAGATGGAATGATTTAATAATTTCTGAGCATCTACCATGTGCCAGCCCTGGGCTAGGCACTTTGTGCTCATGAACTCACTCCATCCTTGCGGCAACACTTTGAGGTAGGGACTCCCACGTTGAGGAAATTGAGGCACAGAGGGGTTGGTTCACTCGCTAATGAGTGATATCCTCATAAAGAGTGATCTTATAATAAACCTCCATGAACAGAGCTAACCTCCCTGTGCCCTTGTCCCCTGGGGCCTGAGAAAACACTAGCAAAAGTCTGTTTGGCGGGAGCTTCCTTCTGGAAGCAGGAGCTGGCTCAGAAGTTGCACTGGGCTGGGGCTGGCTCCGGAGATCAGGTGTCTAACCCTCATGTCGGTTCCCCTGCCCCTCACAGTGTGTGTAAAGCGTGAGGTCAGGGCTGCGCCCTGGTGCAGTGCTTACTCAGTGTTAGCTATTAGCAGACTGTGCCCTGCCGGGGCCCTTGCACAGCACAGGTCTGGGCACGCGCAAGTGCCCGTGGATCTCCGTAGAGGAGTGAGTAAGGCTGCGACCTCACGGAGTCTTTCCGCCACTCCCCAGCCCCGCCCACCCCCTGGCAGCCATTCCTCGGGTCACACTGCTGGCAGGACACTCTCCTGTGCCTTGGCAGCTGGCGGAGGCTGCTGGGCAAGGCGTGCCGATGTGCTGCAGCAGCTCAGGCAGGCAGGGCCGGGCGCAGGCAGGGGCTACCATTTGGCATTATGTCTGTACCTCTCTTTGGCACCTGGGATTTCTCAGGGGCTGAGCTTTAAGATAGCCGGGTGGCAGGTGAGTTCTTACTCCTCTTTATAAAAGAAACACCAGGGGAAGCAAATCACTGTCTTTCTAGAAGCCAGGTCAGTCGGAAACCAGCTTTTGCAGCTCAAAAGAGGTCCTTGGCCATTAGAAAGCGACACGAGATAATGGTTAATGAGGGTACAACAAAAACAGTGGGCTGCCAAACATGCAGAAACATGCCAAAAATCAGTGCCAATCAGTATGCATAATCAGTATAAAATATGCATAAATACACATGGAGAAAAGCCGAAAGGAAACACTTTAAAATGCTAATAGTGGTTATTGCCTGTGGGTGACAGGTAACTTTTAAAAAAATAATTTCCCAAATGTTCTACAGTGACCAGTTATCATTTTTATACTTAGGGGGAAAGTTACTAAAACATAGTGGGAACATCTGGAGAACACCTTTATAAAATGTTTTAGCATCTCAGTTACAAGGAATGCCATCTCTTCTCAGGGTCCCTGGAGAAGGGAGAGGAGAGGAAGAAGCCTGGGGTGGAAGCAGTACTGAGTGGGGGTCTGTGGTTTCTCCGGGGCTTTCCCTGATTCAGGGACAGGGACAGGGATAGAAATCAGTCTCCGCCCGCCTGTGGCCCTGCTTGGTCTCCAGGTGACACTCCTCTCTCTGTCAGCCATTCCTCTGATGGGTCCCAGAGACCTCGCAAGATATTTGTATTGTTTTGTTCGGTCAATACACGTTTATATTTACCCTCATATTAACACTTTCTATTGCTCATCATTTTGTTTTTGTCTTGGTATCATTTTTATTCTACTTGAAAAACTCTGTTTAGTATTTATTTTGGTGCAGATATAACTGGCAACAGAGTCTCTTGAGTTTTTACCTAGAAATGCCTTTATTTTTGTCTCTACTTTTAAAATATCAGCTTCATTGAAGTATAATTTCATAAGCTAACATTCACAGATTTCAAGCATATGAGTTGCTGACTTTTTTTTTTTTTTTTAGAGTCCAGCGGCTTTTATTAGGTTTGTCTCCTATACCATGAATTCATAGGGAATAGATTCTGGCAGCTCAAGGTCCTTTCTTTGCTTCTCACAGGTGTGCTATACCTATTACGCCATGAATTCACAGGGAACAGGTCCCAACACCGTAGGCTCCTTTCTGTCGCTTCTCACAAAGTGTGAAACACCTATTATGCCATGAATTCATAAGGAATAGGTTCCGGCAGCTCGGGCTCCTTTCCATTGGTTCTCACAAAGTGTGCTTCTCTGGGTGGAGCAGGCTGTCGCTTCAGTTGAACCCAGGTACCTTTCTCTTTGGCTTCCTTCTTTCTCTGATCATTTTCCTTCACACGCTTCAGGAAGCTATCTCAGCTCTTAGAGTGCTTAATGTGCTCGATACGTACATTAATCCTCTTGGCAAGAATCTTGCCCTTAACTTGTTTATTTACAACAATTCCAACAGCATGCTGTGTAACGTTGTAGACTCTTCCAGTTTTGCCATGGTAACATTTGTGGGGCATGCCTTTTTGAACAGTACCCATTCCCTTGATGTCTACAATATCACCTTTCTTGTAGATTCGCATGTATGTGGCCAAAGGAACAACTCCATGTTTTCTAAAAGGCCTAGAGAACATGTATCGGGTGCCTCTCCTCTTTCCCTTTGTGTTCGTCATTTTGGCGAATTACTGGAAGATGGCGACTCCAGCCGAAAGGCGAGTTGCTGACTTTTGACAAATTGTGTATATATAAAATATATGTATGTACATACATATGTACACACATATATGTGACACACATATATATATATATATATGAGAGAGAGAGAGAGAGAATACTGTAATCAAGATGTGGAACATTTCTGTCTCCCCAGAAATTTCCCTTTTTCCTCCTCTTTGCAGTCAGTTTCTCCCCTACTCCCATCTACCCCCTGCCCCAGGAAACCACTGCTCTGATTTTTAGATGAGATGTTCAGAAGCACATGCCTGTACTCATACACTGCACACTCTGGAATCTGGTTTCTCTCAGCTTAGTATCTGTGCCATTCATGTTGTATTCTTATTTCACTTATGTCATTGGGTAGTATCCTACTGTATGAATATACCTCACTTTGTTGATGCAGTCATCCATAGTCGCCCTCTGTGGGAGCCACAAGCTACTCTGTCACAGCTAGGAGCAGAAGTCCCTTGTTTCGAAACAAAGAAACTGTCAGAACCTCTGATTCTTTTCAAAAGGTGGATTTCTAGAAGGGGAAGTTACTAAATAGAAACCTTTTATAGGCTGTTGACGCATCCTGTCAAATGGCTTTCCAGAGCTTTCCCCAGATTTACATCCCTCCCAGTGGTATATGACAGTCCCTGTCTCACCACACCCTCTGTCAACAGCATTTCTGTATCTTACTTTCTAATCTTTGCAAGTATGCAGAGCTGCAGGACTGTGTGCAATAGTTGAAAGGAATGTTACCTTGAGCACAAACCAACAGGGCCTGTATTTACCTGCTTTCTGAGTTTGCAGAATTATCAGTGACTTCGCTTCTTTAATCTCTGGTCTCACTGACTTCCTGATGAAACTGATCTGAAAAACCAATTCAGATCGTTCCTGCCATCAGTGTTTCAGGCGGAAGGGAGGGTGTGGCCACAACTCCAAGGGCTCGATAAGGAGCCTTGGGATTGCTCCAGGCGGCAGTGTCCAGCACAGCAGGCACTGGCTGCTTGCGGCTGTTGAGCGCTTGAAGTGTGGTTGGCCCAAACTTAGACATGCTTTAAGTATAGAGCACACGCCAGACTCCAAAGCCTTACGATGAAAAAAATGAATGTAAAATCCTTCCTTAATGTATTTTATATTGATGACATATTGAAATAATATTTTGAACATATTGAGTTAAATAAAATATATCATTAAGATTAATTTCACCTGTTTACTTTCATTAATGTGGCTACTAGAAAATTTAAAATCACCAACAAGGCTTGTGTTTTATTGCAACTCAACAGTGCTACTCTGTGGTCGTATAGAATTACTCTCTTCCTCTGTCTCCTTTTCCCCTTTGAATGTCTGCCTTCCCCAGGCCCGGCTTCGTTTTCATCAGAGCAGCTTCCCCGAATCTTCTCTTGGAGGCTCTTCAGACTTTATATTTAGTTCAGAAGGCCACATGGCAAGGCGGGACCTGGGCGCAGATTTCCGTGAAGAGCCGGAGTGGCGAAGTGCCCCCGGGGTTCCGTCACCCGGGAACTAACCCCCTCTGAGGGCAGACCAGACGGTTGGGAAGAGGAGTGTGGGGGCAGATGCCTGTCCAAGCCCCTGGCTCTTCTAGGGGTTCCCTCCCCGCCGGCAGGCTCTGCCCTGCCTGCCTGTGCCTCCAGAGGTGGCTTTCCATGGTGGACTCCCTCCCCCATCGTTTTTCCACTTGGTGTTCCATCTTTTATTCTGCCGTGAGTCTTGTTTTCTGGATGCCTCCATTAGCTTGACATTTTTCTCCAGTGTGGCCTCACCAGGCGCTCCAGCTTCAGTCCTCTCTGCTCTGTGCCACTGGCCCGGGAGAGCCCCACCCGTGAGAACAGGCTCATCTCCCAGACACCTGGCCCTGGCCCACCCTTGGTCCTCCTTTTGCCTGGGAGACCAGACTCTCTTCACCATCCAGGCCCAGCCTCTACCAGGCAAAGAAAGTAAAGGATCTCCTCTCGGGGCCAGGAGCTCCCTGGCTCTCTGGTGTTTCTGCTAACAGGTGCCCGTGAACTTGGGAATTTCTCTATGGTGTCCCATGGTATGCATTTGGTCTACCCTGGGATTCTGTTTACCAGGGCAACATCCAGTTTCTCCGTTTCCCCTTCTGATATCCATACCTTGTTAAGTTCCTGCTGAACTGAGCTAATCCTGCACATCTGATTAAATCTCAGACCAGGGCTCTGAAAATCACAAAACAGCCTCCTTGCCAGGTGGCTGACACGTAACGTATTGCTTTGTTTAGGTGGCCGTAAATTAGGAGACTTCTCCTTACGTTTTTGCCTTTGATGGCAAAGAGGTGGAGATGCCTGTGGTGGTTATTATAGGAAGATCTGGGAAGGCAAGTCCCTGTTTTTATGGGAATCACAGGCTTGGCAGAGATAGAAGCAGTGAGTAACATGGGACCCCCGTGGTAGACGGGGGAGGATAAGAGAGGCTGGCGAGGAAGTGTCACACCCTTTCCCAGCCTCCTAAAGAATGGGGCATGGAATTAAAAAACACTGAATCACAAAGTGAGAAAGCAACTCCCTTTCCAGCTTTCTCTCCCACTTGTGATTACTTTAAAGAGAAAAATCTCTACTGTGTCCTTAATATCTTTCAAATGCCGTAAGAGAAAACTGCCCTCAAACCTCAAACCAAGAGCCTTTTCGCATATCACTACAATCACATCGTTTTATTTCTGGTGAACTTATTTTCGTGTTACTTTATATTTATTGCAAATGCTAGTTTTGGTTTCCAATGGTGACATGAAATTTCCTTTAAAATTAATGTATTAGAGTTTGTTTTTTTTTTTAAAAAAAAAAAACCTCAATTTTAAAGTGGAAAGGTAAATTAAATGCAGGCGAGACTCAATTATGGTAAGAACAACAAAAAAGTGACGATGGGGGAATGTCTGACATTTGGAAAACATGGTCCTAAAAGAAGAAGGTACAGAGAAGATTCTGAGATCTGGAAGTTCTGGATTTAAAAATCATCCTGTTGCCAGTTTCAGTCATTCATTCCCCATTTAGTACAATAATATTTTCAAAAAAATCTTTTCTTTGATTTTGCAGATTCTGTAAAGAAATTGGGAGTTGAAGATTTAAGAAGAAGATGTTGTTTTAAAATATTCTGACATAATTTAAAGAATGATGCCAGAAACTTAAAAAGGTATTATTGACCATTAATTTATATTTAATATTATCAACTTATATGCCTTAAGGGAACCAACTTTTAAAGCTGTGGATCCTAAAGTGGGTCATGGAATTGACCAAATAGAAATAGCTAAATTAGCATCTAATAGACCTGCACACTTCTAGTGGGATAGTAACCAATCATTTTTATCCCTTTAAATTATTTTTGGTGAGGGTCTCTTGCCCCTCTGTTGCTTAGAATGTTAAATTGTACTGTTATTTGCTCGTTAATTCGGGATCTAAAAGGAAAGTTATTGGGTGGGGTCCAGCTGAGAATCTGTTAGGCTTGTGCGGTGTTTAGCAATTTGATTGATAAAACAGAAAAAAGGAAGTGTGTCAAAGAGGAGACTCATGTGTGACTTGGTAGAAAAAAGTTTGAGAATGTAAATGTTAACCAATGTGGTTTGTGAAACATATGAATGACGTTGACAGTGTTAAAAGATTTGTGACAGGTTTTTTTTTTTTGAGCTCACCGAAAAATGTTTTTAGATTATCTCTGAAATGTATGGGTTTTCCTGCCTAGACAAAGGCCAAAGGGGGCAGTTTAAGGCTTTTCCACAAACAAGATTATGATTCATTTTATACAAGGATGACTGAGGAAGACATGGCTGCAGGACCCTGTGTGTTTTGTTGTTGTTGTTGTTGTTACAAGAAAGCCAGTCAGTGCAATTTTGGGATAACTAAGATGAACTCAAGGTATTTTTTAACACCTAAATAAAATAGCTTGGATCTCTGTTCCTACCCAGCTAGGACGTTCAGCAGGGGCGCCAGGTTTGCAAGGATTGCCGCGGAGATGTGTCCCTTGGTCATCCAACACTGGGGACTCCGTGCCGACTCTCCCTTTTGCCTCCTGCACCTCTGCGTTCCCTCTGTCCCCCTTCATGCACACACGGCCACTGCTGCTCCTGCCGTCCCCACGGGGCCTGTGTATAAGAGACTTTGCTGAGGGTTTGAGGATGGCAGGTTTGGGGCGGGATACAGCACAGCCCACGATGGGAATACGACGAGATGTCACTGTCCCTGGGTCCTGGGCTCTGCCTACCACAGTAGACTCCATGCTGCTCTCTCTGTCCCCAGGCCGCTTTGTGCTCCGCCCTCTGTCCACCATGCCCACCAGTTCCTCTGTTCCCAGTTCTGGGCCCACTCCCTGCTTAGGGCATGCAGAAACCTCTGATCGCAGTTCACCTTATTATATAAAATAATACACTTTCCCATCTCCATCCCAGTCTAGGATCCAGGCACACTTTGCTTTTTAAAAGTAATAATAATGATTAAGAAGTTGTGCTGAAGAGAAGGGGTTGGCCACCTCTGGTCACCTACTTTAGCAACGTCATCCACAGGCAGATGTGATGAAATTATGATTTTTTAATTTAATGCAGCTCAGATAAAAGTCTTAAGCATGGCTCCCTCTGGCTGTAAGTAGAGAAACCCCAGGACCAGTGGGGGGCGGTTGGGGGAAATACTTCCATGACTCTTGCCTTATTGATGATGTCATTGGTCTCTTCAGGCCCTGCATGGAGAGGCGGGGCCCTGGAGGGATGGCCCTAAATCCTGCTTGCCCCTCCGCGGGGAGGACACATGCCGCTGAAGATGAATTTGGGAAAAGTAGCCGCTTGCTACTTTAACCATGGAAAAGCAGGGCCACAGTGAGATGGAAATAATCCTGCCAGATTCTCACTCCTACATTAAATTGTTGAAAATCAACCGGGAACTTCTGGTCACGCACATCCGTAACACTCAGTGTCTGGTGGACAACTTGCTGAAGAATGACTACTTCTCAGCCGAGGACGCGGAGATCGTGTGTGCCTGCCCCACCCAGCCCGACAAGGTGCCCTGCGACAGGGATTAGCATTGGCAGCATGCAAACCCTGGTAGCCAGAAGAGGCTTCTTCCCATTGACCTGAGCGGAGGGTTTCGGGAGCTTAGTGCACCGGGAGGAATTTCACGTTGGGGTCTTGACAGAACATAAATGCCCAAGCTATGAGCTTATTTCACAATCAAGTGTTTCACTTCTGCATTTGTGTCTAGGGCAGAATCTTAAATCTGAGCTCTCGTTGCTACGTGTGCTTGCGCCCAGACACCTCATTTCAAAACTCACTTTAAATTAGTGGAAGGAAAAAGGAAAGGAGCATACAGCACTGGCAGACATGTCCATTGCTGCCTTTAAGCTCTGGAGGCTGCATTGCTGGGTGAGACTCAGATGGGCATGGCCGTGGGTTCAGGAACGACCACTTCCCAAGCTGGGGGCACGATAAGGAATTCCCCATGCTCCACGTGGGAAGTCTTCCCAGCCCTTAGTTTCAATTAAGCTGTGTGTCACCTTCTGACAAATCAAATCAGGACCCAAACCCCTTCGTGGTTAGAGGGATAACAAGCTATTTGTGACATGACCCCGCTGGGCTCAGTAGAGACCAGTGTGGTTTCTGGGGGAAGCCTTGTAGCACATGCATGCGCTTCAGTCTCCTCTTGATTTGTTTTCATGCATTTTTTTTTAATTTTTAAAATTTTTTTTATTTTTTGAGACAAAGAGTTTCACTTTGTTGCCCAGGCTAGAATGCTGTGGCGTCAGCCTAGCTCACAGCAACCTCAATCTCCTGGGCTCAAGCGATCCTCCTGCCTCAGCCTCCCGAGTAGCTGGGACTACAGGCATGTGCCACCATGCCTGGCTAATTTTTTGTATATATATATTTTTTTAGTCGGCCAATTAATTTCTTTGTATTTATAGTGGAGACGGGGTCTCGCTCTTGCTCGGGGTGGTCTTGAACTCCTGACCTCAAGCAATCCGCCCGCCTCGGCCTCCCAGAGTGCTAGGATTACAGGCGTGAGCCACCACGTCCGGCCTGTTTTCATGCATTTTTAATAAGAAAAAAGCCATCTCTAATGTATGACTTATGTGGGGTCCTGTCACCCTCTTGCTGTGTGGCACGGGTGCCCCTCATTGTGCCCAGGGGCTGGCTTCTCCCTCTCCATACTCCCTCGGGATAGCAGTGATGTTAGGTTAAGAGGGACAAGGGGACAGAGAGAATTCCATGGGTGGACATGACTCTAGTTGTTAGTCTGACTTTGTTCTTTCCAGACTCACGGAAATCTGCTTTCTTAGAGCTGTGTGGCTTTATTCCTCGCTAAGGAGGTCATTTCACATGTCTCAGCTCACCCCGGCTGGGTGGATAGTCAAGCTACTGGCTGTAGTAAGCGCTCGGAGCCCTGCCCTGAGCCCACCTGGGGGGTCTTTCTGGTAGGAGGATGCCCCCCATGTCAGCTCATATCTCACGTTTGTGCCGCCACTAGGTCCGCAAAATTCTGGACCTGGTGCAGAGCAAGGGTGAGGAAGTGTCTGAATTCTTCCTCCACGTGCTCCAGCAACTCACGGATGCTTACGTGGACCTCAGGCCCTGGCTGTCAGAGATCGGCTTCTCCCCTTCCCCGCTCATTCGGGGCAAAACTGTGCTCAACACCGACCCAGGTAGGAGGCAGCCCCGGGAGGACCGCAGGTACCAGCGCGAGCCACGCTTGGGGGTCTGGTTAGGTCCAGGGGGCACAGCTGGCCCTGTGTGCCACCTCAGGAAGCAGGCCCAGGTGCTACATTGATTTTAGAAAGGAAGAGCGGGTCTGTGTCATCCAGGTGCATCCGGGTGACTGCGATTGCACTGACCATGTGTGGCCACACATGTAAAGCAGACAAACCTGCTCTGGTTTACATAGGGGCCCTTGGAAGTGGGAGGATGGTGTCTGTGCTGACCTCTTGCTTCCCTCCTATTCTGACACATGCAGATATTTTAATAGTTGCAGAAATTCAAGGCTGCATTGTTTTTTCTTTTAAAAAATTCTTTCCAGTTTTGATTTTAGGCAAAGCATTCTTCTGTCACCCCTGGGTGCCAGCCCTTATTTCCGAAGCACCGTGGGAGACCCCATTACTTAATTGCTTAGCCCAACAAGTATTCTTGCTGTTCCTACCGCATGCCAAGGCCGCGTGCTGGCTGCGAGGGGGCAGTGGTCAGCGGCACAGACGGGGCCCCTACCCTCAGGGCGCTTTGAGTCTGGAGGAAGAGTCCTCCGTTATGTCATCTCGCAGGTGTTGACAAAACAGCGGCAGTTGGAGCATGTAACTGGGGCCAGGATCTGCTCCGGGGCTGGGAGGCTGCTTTCCTGGCTTTGGCCTGGCCTGCTCCTCGTGGAGACAGCTGCTGGCAACATATCAGCACCAAGGGCCCAAACTCTGATTTTTAAAGAATCCAGTTAGACCTTGGAAACAGGAACAAGGGACGGTGTCCCAGAGAGGTGTATGTTTATGGGAAACAAAGCCAGCCGGCAGAGGGTCAGGGCCACGCCCGGATTGCTGTGGCCCTAGCAGGGACCTGCCAGTGGCTCACTCCAACGCCCCTTCCTGCTCACCTAACCTACTTCCCCTGTGAAAAAAGGGAAAATGTTCCCATGATGATGGTTCTTTCAGAAGACTTCCCCATTGGTTCTTTTAGGCAGCTACTTTACTAGCTTTTGTTTAAAGTACTATTCTCTCTATAAGAAGCCTCGCACACAAGACTACATATTGTATTAATATGATTCCATTTATATGGAGTGTCCATAAAAGGAAAATTAATAGACTAAGCAGATCAGTAGTTGCCTACGGCCCAGGGTGGGGGCAGAGATGAGCTGCAGAGAGCTCTGGGAGGATGATGGAGATGTTCTAGAACTGGAATGTGGCAAGGTTTCCACAACTTTATGAATTTACTAAAAATCATGTAGTAGCTAACACAGTGAGTGGATTTTATGGTATACAAATTATGCTCCAATAAAGCTGTGAAAAATATAGTTTACTTTATAAATTTTAAACAGACAACCAAATTGGACTAAATTGATGAGAAAGGGTTATAGATGAATCTGGAAATGTGCATGGGTATCTAATTTTTGTTAATTGAATTATAATTAAAATTTAAAAAGCTATTTTAAAAGAATTTATGGTCTGATTTGGGGAAGAGCCACCTCCCTGTTGGTGTAAGTCCCATGTTCATCACCAGGTTTGCTGGGAGGGTGGTCCCCCTCCCTTCCCCCACCCGAAACACTAGGGCATCTCGTCCCCTTGAGGGACGTGTGGGGCTCACCCTGTGGCACGTGCCAGGCACAGGGATCTGAGGCGCTCAGCTGGGAGCCAGGGCTGGCGGGCTCTGTGTAGGACCCATCCTAGCGTACTCAGTCCTGTGGTGTCTGGGAGGAGGCACAGATCCCTTGTAATCCAGGTGAATGTCCACTGTCCTATTTTATCACCAAAGATTTTGGCACCCAGTTTTGTGAGACCACCTGTTGTTTGAAGAGCAGTGTTATTAGCAAAAGAAAGGTTATGGAAATTTCTTCCTTAAGAATGAGGGTTTCCGTGGACACTGGCTCAGGCTGTTTGAATAGGGCCCTGGGGATGAGGTGGGGGCAGCGAGGCCACCTGGCCTGGCCCTCAGGTGTGAGGGGCTTCAGGTGTTAGCTGCAGTTCAGTGGCAACGCTGTGCAGAGGGACAAGGGAGCCCTGCCGCCTTCTGCCTGGCTAAATCCGAGGTCAAGCAGAGGGGTTGAAGCCCGGAGACCCTCAGATTCTGAAATGCTGGCTCTGAGCCCGGGCCCGAATGTGAGGAGTGGCTGTACTGGCCTTAGGGTCCCGGCGGGAGTTTTGTCTGCCTGCCCACCTCTGCTCCCTCTGACCATCCGTGTGATGTGGTTTCTGCCTCTGTCTCCCTCTGCCTCTCACCTGGGCCCGCCGGCGCGCCCTGCAGTGAGCAGGTACACCCAGCAGCTGCGACACCACCTCAGCAGGGACTCCAAGTTCACGTTGTGCTATGGCCAGAAGGAGGAGCTGCTGCTGGAGGAGACCTACACCGACACCATCATGGAGCTGGTCGACTTCAACAACGAGAGCCTGGGCAGCCTGGGCGGCCTGGCCTGCCTCCTGGACCACGCCACGGGCGTCCTGGACGAGCAGGGCGAGACGGTCTTCATCTCGGGCGACGCAGGCGTGGGTAAGTCCATGCTGCTGCAGCGGCTGCAGAGCCTCTGGGCCACCGGCCAGCTGGACGTGGGGGTCAAGTTCTTCTTCCACTTCCGCTGCCGCGTGTTCAGCTGCTTCAAGGAAAGCGACACGCTGTGTCTGCAGGATCTGCTCTTCAAGCACTACTGCTACCCAGAGCAGGACCCCGAGGAGGTGTTCGCCTTCCTGCTGCGCTTTCCCCACGTGGCCCTCTTCACCTTTGACGGCCTGGACGAGCTGCACTCGGACTTGGACCTGAGCCGCCTGCCCGACAGCTCCTGCCCCTGGGAGCCCGCCCACCCGCTGGTCCTGCTGGCCAACCTGCTCAGCGGGAAGCTGCTCAAGGGCGCCAGCAAGGTGCTCACGGCCCGCACGGGCGTCGAGGTCCCGCGCCAGCTCCTGCGGAAGAAGGTGGTCCTCCGCGGCTTCTCGCCCTGCCACCTGCGGACCTACGCCAGGAGGATGTTCCCCGAGCGGGCGGTGCAGGACCGCCTGCTGAACCAGCTGGAGGCCAACCCCAACCTCTGCAGCCTGTGCGCTGTGCCCCTCTTCTGCTGGATCATCTTCCAGTGCTTCCGGCACTTCCACACCGCCTTCGAAGGCCCGCCGCAGCTGCCCGGCTGCGCGGTGACCCTGACCGACGTCTTCCTGCTGGTCACCGAGGTCCACCTGAACAGGATGCAGCCCAGCAGCCTGGTGCAGCGGAACACGCGCAGCCAGGCGGAGACCTTCCGCGCCGGCCGCGGCACCCTGTGCTCGCTGGGGCAGGTGGCCCACTCGGGCATGGACAGGAGCCTCTTCGTCTTCAGCCAGGAGGAGGTGCAGGCCTCTGAGCTGCAGGAGGGAGACCTGCAGCTGGGCCTCCTGCGCGCTCTGCCGGAGCCGGGGCCCGGAGGGGACCGGCAGTCCTACGAGTTTTTCCACCTCACCCTCCAGGCCTTCTTCACGGCCCTCTTTCTCGTGGTGGACGCCAAGGTGGGCACTCATGAGCTGCTCAGGTTCTTCCGGGAGTGGACGCCTCCCGGGGAGGCCGTGGCGGCGTCCTGCTATCCCTTCCAGTGCCTGGGCGGGGGCCGCCTGGCCGGGGAAGACCCTTTCAAGAACAAGGACCACTTTCAGTTCACCAACCTGTTCCTGTGCGGGCTGCTGTCCAAAGGCAAACAGAAGCTCCTGCGGCACCTGGTGCCCGCCGCCGCCCTGAGGCGGAAGCGCAAGGCCCTGTGGGCGCACCTGTTCGCCAGCCTGCGCTCCTACCTGAAGCACCTGCCCCGCGTCCAGAGCGAGCACTTCAACCAGGTGCAGGCCATGCCCACCTTCATCTGGATGCTGCGCTGCATCTACGAGACGCAGAGCCAGAAGGTGGGGCAGCTGGCGGCCAGGGGCATCTGCGCCAACTACCTCAAGCTGACCTACTGCAACGCCTGCTCGGCCGACTGCAGCGCCCTCTCCTTCGTGCTGCACCACACCCGCAGCCGCCTCGCCCTGGACCTGGACAACAACAACCTCAACGACTACGGCGTGCGCGAGCTGCGGCCCTGCTTCAGCCGCCTCACCGTGGTCAGGTGAGGCCGCCAGGCACGGGAGGGGCGATGGGGGGGAGGGGACCGGGCTGCGGGGCACCAGGATTGGCGCTGTGGATCGGGATCTGTGGGATCCACCGTTACCCCAGGCAGATGGCAAGGAGCAAAGCTGGGTGCCACCCCCCGCTTCCCTCCCCCCCAGCTGGGTGTCCTTGAACAAACTGCCTAACCTCTCTGAGCCTCAGTGTCTTCATGTGGAACAAGGAGGTATTCATAATCCCAGCAATTATAGCGTTAATAATAACAACCGGTGTTGATTAAGAACGGGTGAAGTGCGTTACAAAATGTTACCTAATTTAATGCTCTTAACAACCCTACAAGGTAGGTACTGTTATCGTCTCCGTTTTGGCAACCGAGGAAGTGGAGGCACAGAGAAGTTAATAACTTGCTCCAGGACACACGTGGTGGAGCTAGAATGCATAAGGAACCTACCTGTGGAGATTAAGGCTCAGAGATAGCCCTTGAAAGTTTCTGGCACACAAGAGCTTTTATTATATTATCGCAGAGAGAGCAGACTTTATGCTAATTGGCGTCGGTTACTCTCCGTGATCAAAGCCAGCAGCCTTGTGTGCTGCCAGAGACCCAGTCAAACGCTGACTCGTGGCGATTTTCCTGTTGGATGGGTAGAGGAAAGAGAAGCCCTTGTCTGCTTTCTTCTATTAGCACTTCCTGTATAAGATAAACCTTGTAAATCTCAACAGGGGTTTAAAGTCGCCACTACTTGGCCCATGCAGCTCTGCAGAGCAGTGGGGATTTGGAACGACTCCCTGTGCCTGTTACTCCAGCGCCAGCGTGTAAATTGCCAAGGATGTGGGGTGTGGAGAGGCTGCCCTCGCCTGGGACTCTCCCTGCACAGCCCTGGGCAGTCTCACACCCAGCGCCCTCCCCTCCCCCCCCCCTGCCGGGCCCATCTTATAAAAAGGAAACTGCACCATCCTGCTGTGCCCAGGTGAAGTTTCCGTCCACAGCAGTGAAAGAAAATGCAGCTCACAGGAAAGCAGCAGGATACAGGCAAGCTCAGGGAAGCGTTTTCAGCTCCATGAGGGCATCAGTTAAGATTATTTTCATCTGAGAGAGCAAACTCAAAATCTTGGTGGCTTAAATAAGTTATAAGCTTGTGTCTCTTATGCAAAAGTCTAGAGGTAGGTGGTTCAGGACTGGTATGGTGTCTCGTGACCATCAGGAGCCTGGGGGCTCTTCTGCTTTGCTGCTCTGCTGTCCTTACTGCCTGGCTTTCACCTCTTGGCCCAAGATGGCTGCTCAAGCTCCAGCCATCTAGTTGACATTCTAGCTGCCAGGAAGAAGGAAGGGCAAAGGAGGCTACACCCATTCTTTTGAGAAGACTTCTAAGCTATTGGTAATGATATTGCTGCTTACATTTCATTTGGCAGGACTTACTTATATGTGCCTAGCTAAAAAATGGGGATTTGATTGCTAAGAAAGCATAGATATTGGGAGTGACTAATTGCCTCTGCCATTCTCGCATGGCCGTGCACGGTAAGTACACACTCTGCCTCAGCGCAAAGCTGGGGACTCTGGGGGGAGGGTCCAGAGTATCTGACCTCATTTTGATGTGGCCTAAAAACCAAGCTTTTACCTGTTCTGCCTTTTGCTTATTACAGAAGTCAGCTTGTGGGCCAAGTTCGGCCCATGGCTTGTGTTTGTAAATAAAGCTTTATTGGAGCACAGCCACGCCCGTGTATTGGCTGCTTCACCCTACAGAGCTGAGTAGCTGTGATGGAGGCCACGAGGCCCGCACAGCCGGAAACACTTGCTCTCTGCCCCTTCACAGAAGAAGTTTGCTGACCCCTGGTTATCACCTCACCCCACCCCTGTGCCATAGTCTTCCCTCCGGCCTCACCTAACAATGGGGGAGAGGATTGAGAAGATCAGGGTAGCTGGTTACAGAGATTACTTGGTAGGAAAAAAAAATGATTTTCCATTTTGGCTACATTAATATGTCATGGAGTGCAGGGATTTCCCAGAGAAATCCCAGTGTGTGGCTGGCCTTTGTCCAGGAGAGACCACAGTCCTGAAGGCCTTCCTCAGTCCACCCTCCTTCCCTCCCAGCCTGGCCTCCTAGGGGGCATCTGCATGACAGAGGACTTGGAGAGTGGCCTTGCCAAGCTCTGCCTCTGCGCTCAGGCCGCTGGGTGTTTCTGCATCTACACTTTCCCACCCCCTCCCCCGCCATTTAGCCCCTGCGTTTCCAGATGGGGCAGGCTGTGGGCATTTTGGATGAGACAGTTCTGGTGGGGCCTGTCCTGCATTTTGCAGGACACCTGACATCCTTGGCCCCGCCTGCAAGATGACTGGGCGTCCTCTCCCCCAGTCACAATAGCCACTAACGGCAGCCGCTCCCATTTCGAACCCCCAGAGCCCTGCTGTGCAGCAGGAGCCAGGCAGGGACATGGACACACACACGCACACACATGCATGCACACACGGCAGCAGAGGTGGTCGGCCTCACGCGGAGCCTTTGCGGTGAGCCTGGGGACGAGCCTGGGCCACGCCGCAGCCTTGCGGAGGGCTGTGCTGGCCGGCTCTGGCGGCCCCTCCATGGCCAGGCTTGTCAGGGGCTGCCAGAGCCGCTCTTACGGGGCGCCTGTCCCTGGGGCAGCACCAGGGGCTGCCGCCTCTGGATCCTTGCGGGCTTCGTGCTCCCTCAGGAGCAGCTGCTCTAACTCAGTTGTCTTTGCCGTCTTGTGTCAGACTCAGCGTCAACCGGATCACCGACGACGGCGTCAAGGTGCTGCACGAGGAGCTGACCAAGTACCGAATCCTGACCTATTTGGGGTACGTCTTTCCCCAGAACTCTGGGCCAAGGGACCTAGCAATACAGCAGAGCGGCGGGAATCGCCAGTCCCGTGGGTGACCGGATGACAGATTGGGCGGCCCAGGGCTGGGGAGGGAACCGGACCGGGAGATCGGGGTCCTGGGTTCTGCCCTTGCCTCGCTGAGCCTCGACCTCCCCACTTGTAACACCGAGCCCCTAGCAGAGGCCAGTGGTGTCACGACTGTTACTGGGGGTGCAGAGAGGACATATGGGGTGTACTTAGTGAACGTTAGAATACTGATTATGTATCAGACTTTACTATTACGTTCTGGGTCCTTGATCCCTCATCCTGAGCCCCTGGGGCAAGACACGGTCGGGGTCCAGAGTATGTGCTGTGTAGTGGGCTCCACGGCAACACCCCGTTTTTAGATACGTTAATATTTCAGCCCAAAATATATGCGTATTCAAACCTAGTGGGGCAAGTGAAGACCATAAGTAGCTCCACATCTGTTGCCAAAAGAAAAACTTTGGGCTTTCAGAGGCTTTGGGATTGTGGAGTTTGAGATGAGGGATTGTGGGCTGGTCCCCTGTGGTCACTGTGGTCCCGTGAGCTGCGGCAGCTGCTTGGGCCCCGGCTGCCCTCACTGTAAAATGAGGACACCCGGGAGGCCGACAATCCCAGGCCACCCTCAGCTCTGGAGGTTTGTGTGACTGTGGACGCCTCGAAACTCAGTCCAGTTACTTCTTTCAGCCTCTCTCTGCGTTGTGGTGGAGTTGGCGTTGAGGGGCGAGATGGCTGAAAGATAGACAGTGAGCAGGTTCGATGTTCAGGGGGAAACTTCCCCTTCAAGATGCAGAATGTAATCGTGATTGAATAAATACCTGTCACCTGCTGGTTATGAAGCACTTATGTGCCAGGGCTTTGTTATGTAACCCTTATAACAACCCTGTAAGGGCGCTATCATTATTACCCCTGTATTACAGATGGAGAAACTGAGGCACAAGGAGGTTAAGTAACTTGTCCCAGGCCATAAGGCCATAAGACCAGGGTAGAGCTGGTCTTGAACCCAGGCTGTGAGACTCAGAGCCCCAGACTCTGGTCTCCATGTGTTCTTCTTTCAACCCAGACCTTGGAAATCAGAAGAGAGCATATACTTACTTAAAAAAAAGTCAGGGTTATTGAAATGACATTGAGAGTCATAAAGTCTCATGACTGTGCTTTCCCTCAAAGTTTATACAACAACCAGATCACTGATGTCGGAGCCAGGTACATCTCCCAAATCCTGGATGAATGCAAAGGCCTCACGCACCTGAAGTAAGTGGGGTAGGTGTGCAGGCCCCTCAGTAGCTCCTCTTGGTCACCCCTTCTGTGTGCAAAGCATCAATGTCACTGTGTAGAGCTTCCACCAAAGCCTTCTGCTCGCCCCAGGGCCGTGTTGGGCAAAGTAAGCCGTCCTGTGTGTGGGATGCGAGCTGCCACGTGGAAGAATTCTGACCCGTGGGTGAGGCTGGGACTCTGGAGGGGGCCACCTGTCATTGGTCGGGGGACAGCCTGGCATTTGGATTGATTTCATTAACTACTGGCAGGAAGAAAGGCCTGTCACCCTTTCTGGAGTACTAGAGAAAAAGGTTTCTTCCCCTAAGGGAATTTTCCGTCTAGTTATAAGCAAGAGCTTGATGCTTTGCCCTGTCCTGGAAATGTCCTGCCAAGGGTGACAGGGTGCCAAGCTTGGAGCCTCTGGCCTTGCCCTGGCGACAGGAACACACACCTTGTCCACTGGCAGTCAAAGCCCCCAGGCCTGCTGATGGGAGCAGGCGATGCTCCTGAGGTCCCTTAGAGGAGCCCAGGGAGGGCCTGGGACCCTGAGTTCCTGCAGAGACCATGGGCCACGTCCTGGAGAGGTACCCTGGCTCTCTGGTCTCAGGGCTTCAGGTTCCTCCTGGAGAGCAGGCTCAGCACACGGCTCATGTGGGTCTCAGGAGAGAGACCACGCTTCCCAAGAGCGGCCGGGAGGGGCCCTGTGCTGGGGAGGGGGCGGCCGGTGTTGGAGGCTGACTGAGTTCGACTCCCTCTGCAGACTGGGAAAAAACAAAATAACGAGCGAAGGAGGGAAGTGTCTCGCCCTGGCTGTGAAGAACAGCAAATCGATCTTTGAGATTGGGTGAGTAGAAGCGGGTGCACGTCCGTGGGTGTAGTTCAGCCTGCTCTGTGCACGTGGGCGCCCGCGGGTCTTTTGCACATCCGTGTACTGGAAGGACCGCTGGGTCTCCTGGGGGGAGACAGCAGAGCGCGGCCACCACTGACGCCGCGGGGGCTTCTGCGTGGGAACCGTTGCGGGAAGTCCCAGGATTGGCTGTGACTTTGTGCAGACTGTTAAGTCATGCAGAAATCTGTATTTTCACCTCCAGCAAATAGAGGGAGCTGTTCTAGCCCTAGGTAGTTTCTGATGTTCTTCATATCTTCTCTGGGTGCCTTGTTTTTCTTTCACTTTTTTTTTTTTTTGTGTGGTAAAATATATATAATGTATGTTTTCTACCTTAATCATTTGTAATTGCATAGTTCAGTGGTATCAAGTATATGCATATCATTATGCAACCATCACCACCATCCATCTCCAAAACTCTTTTCTTTCTTTCTTTCTTTTTTTTTTTTTTTTGAGTCACTCTGTCACGCTGGGTAGGGTGCAGTGGCAGCATCATAGCTCACTGCAACCTCCAGCTCCTGGGCTCAAGTGATCCTCCTGCCTCTCAGCCTCCTGTGTAGCTGGGACTACAGGCATGCACCACTGTGCCCGGCTCATTTTTTCTATTTTTAGTAGAGATGGGGTCTTGCTCTTGCTCAGGCTGGTCTGGAACTCTAGACCTCAAGTGATCCTTCTGCCTTGGCCTCTCCAAAACTCTTTTCATCTTGCAAAACTGAAACTCTGTATCTGTTAAACAATAACTCCTCACTCACCCTCTCCCCAGCCCCTGGCAACTACTTTTCTCTTATACTTTTGTCTCTATGGTTTTTGACTATTCCAACTACCTCATATAAGTGGAATCATTCAGTATTTGTCTTTTTGTGACTGGCTTATTTCACTTAGCATGATGTTGTCAAGGTTCATCCATGCTGTGGCGTGCGATAGGATTTCTCACCTCTTCAAGGCCGTATAATATTCCATTGTGTATATACACCACATTTTGCTTATCCAGCCATTGATGGACACTGGGTTGCTTCCATATTTGGTTGTTGTGGATAATGCTGCTATGCACTGGGTATGCAAATGTGCCTTGAAGGCCCTGCTTTCAGTCCTTTTGGATGTATGCCCAGAAGTGGAACGGCCAGATGCAATGGTAATCCTATGGTTAATTTTTTGAGGAATGGTCGTACTGTTTCCCACAACAGCGGCACCATGTTATGTTCCCAGCAACAGCACGTAAGGTTCCCATTTCCCACGTCCTCAGCCCCGCTCGCTGTTTTCTGTGTTTTCATAGTAGCTATCCCGATGGGTGTGAGGTGGTATCTCATTGTGGTTTTGATTCTCAAGTCATTTTAAAGCTTTGTATATCATTATAATTTCTTATTGGATCATAAAATGAACACAGGTAACTTTGGATGCTATGGGAAATAGGAAAATAAAAAAAATTATCTTCTCAAAAAATAATAATTATTAACATTTGATGTCAATGAAGCCCTTGCACTTTCTCTTTTCCTCTCTCTCTACTATTTTTTTTTTTTTACATAGTAAGGTCAAACTGTGTATGTACAGAATTTTATCCTTCCTTTTTCACCTAGACTCATGAGTATTTTTCTACTTTATGAAAAGTTTAGTGCCATTCAGTCGAAGAGTGCATAGCAAAGCACTGAAAACTCTTAGCCTGGTTCCGGCAAGCTGTGCCCTGAAGCATGGAGGCAGGAGCTTGCTGGACCTGAGCGTGCTGCTGAGGCTGCCCCGGGTGTGTCGAGAGGGCCAGGCAGGCTGGCTTTGCCCTGTGTAGACTGCGCCCCTCACCCTGTTAGGAGTAGCTGACACCTTTTGTAGGCCAGGCACTGTCCTAAATGCTTTGCATCTGCTAACTCAGTGCATCCTCACTGCAGCTCTAAGAGGGAGTACCCTTACTATTCCCATTTTATAGATGATGTGACTGAGGTCCAAAGAGTTATGTAATTGGCTCAAGTTCGCCCAGGTAGCAGGTGGCAGAGCCAGGATAGGAGCCCCCATCTTACCATGCAGACTGCTTTAGCCAGATGCTCCCGGGTGCTCTGCCCTGGGGGGAGAATGTAGCTTTGTCCTTTCAACTGTCCACCAAGATTGCAACAGTCTGCAGAGCTTGGTTTGCTGACGTCCTCTTACATAAAAGGAAGACTGCTGATAAGGTTTCTGAATGTGCTTCCTGATCTTTGCTTCGTGGAAGGCTGCGTCTTCAGGAGTGTCTCTGCCCCTGCCAAGAGTTGCACGGATGCTGGGAGCCCAGCACCTGCGCGTGGCCTTCCTTTCAGGATGCCGCACACCCCTGTGTCCCGCAGGAGACAGTCAGGCCGTGTCTTTCTGAGACAGCCGTGGGCCCGGGCCCTCAGGCTGACAGCTCTCCCACAGCTTGGCGTGGGACTTGGTCTCCAGTTGTGCCACTGGCCCGTGCCTTCTGTTCACAAGGCAGTTCCTCTGCTCTCTCTCCTTACGCTGCCCTTTGAATCTGAAATCCAGAGCAGGCAAGTCATGGGCCAGGGTGAGGAGTTAGTCTTAGGCCTCAGCTCCAGGGACTGAGCAGGGAATCTGCCTGCTGAGTATGAATGAAGAGGCGGCCCCTGGCAGAGACTAGGGGGTGAGCGGGCCGTCCGGGGGGGGAGCCGACTTTCACTGTCTTGCCTCTGCCCTCAGGATGTGGGGCAATCAGCTCGGGGACGAAGGGGCGAAGGCCTTCGCCGAGGCTCTGAGGAACCACCCCAGCCTGACCAACCTGAGGTAACTGCCACTTTTCGGGGCCCGCTGTCTCCAGGGGGAACCTGGTCACTCTTCATTCTTCTGGGGGTGACAGGGAGGAGCTGAGGGGACCGGGTGATTGGCTTTCCTAATAGGGGAGGGATTTGTGTACGTGATTTTTCTTTCTCATTAAAAAGTGTTTTATTGATGCACAAGCATACGGTGAAGTACGTTATTGTAAAGTGTTCTGCTCGGTGACTTCTGCACACCGGTGCGACCACCACGCAGATCAAAACACAGGACACTTCCAGCCCCCAGTCATCTCCACCTGCCCCCTGGAGGCTGGGGAAGCAATTGCTAAGTCCAGATACGGCTTAGCTGTATCGGGATGCTGGGCAGCGGGTTCCTGCCGCTTCCTCATTCTCAGGGCAGTGGGGGAACAGAGGGGACCGTCCCTCTCTGTAAACACAGATGCGCCTTCCAGGCCCTTCGTTAGGGCTCTGGCCAGATCCCGCAGCCTTGGTATCTCCGAGGCTCTGCCACTGGCCTTCCTGCCACTGAAAGAGAGTCCAAGATCCTGCGGGCATCTGATGGGGTCTCCCTGATGGGGCCCCTGAAAATGCCAGACCTCTGGAGCCCACCAGGCCTCCTCAGCCTCCGGCGTGGACATAAAAACCAGAGGCGCTGAGCCCAGTCCACTGTCCTGCGAGCAGGCCTCGCCGCCGCCGCCCTGTGTCCTGCCTGGCCTGTCTTGGAGTGGTCTTGCACCCGTCCTCGGGCTCCAGCTCTGGAGCACCAGCGCCTGGGCAGCTGCCGACGTGCCCGAGTCAGCCCGAGCAGGTGCCGCGTCCAGGCGGAGTGGCTGCCGACATCGAATGTAGACGTGTCTCTAATAATTCACCCCCGTGTCTTCCTTCCTAGTCTCGCATTCAACGGCATCACCACAGAAGGAGGCAAGAGCCTGGCGCGGGCCCTGCGGCAGAACGCGTGTCTGAAGATATTCTGGTAACCGCCAGGGCCATCCGGAAGGGCTGGGTCTCGGGAATTGCTCTAGGGGCTGCACAGCCTGGAGTCTCCACTGAAAATGTCCCTCTCAGTTGGAAAGACTCTAGGCCTTTCTAAGTTGGGTGGATAATTTAATTCCTGCTAGAGAAGAAAATAGCTATTTCCAGAAGCACAAACAGGGACAGGAGGGGGAAGTGGGCCCCGGGAGCACAGGTTTGAGGCGTTAGACTTCTTTTTTTTTGAGACAGAGTCTCACTCTGTTGTCCAGGCTAGAGTGCCGTGGCGTCAGCCTAGCTCACAGCAACCTCAAACTCCTGGGCTCAAGCAATCCTCCTGCCTCAGTGTACCGAGTAGCTGGGACTACAAGCATGCGCCACCATGCCTGGCTAATTTTTTCTATATATTTTTAGTTGGTCAATTAATTTCTTTCAAAAGCAGAAGAATCATTCCCCTGCCCCTGTGAGGCTGGGGAAGCAATTGCTAAGTCCAGATACGGCTTAGCTGTATCGGATGCTGGGCAGCGGGTTCCTGCCGCTTCCTCATTCTCAGGGCAGTGGGGAACAGAGGGGACCGTCCCTCTCTGTAAACACAGATGCGCCTTCCAGCGCCTTCGTTAGGGCTCTGGCTGGTCCCGCAGCCTTGGTATCTCCGAGGCTCCTGCCACTGGCCTTCCTGCCACTGAAAGAGAGTCCAAGATCCTGGGGCATCTGATGGGTCTCCCTGATGGGGCCCCTGAAAATGCCAGACCTCTGGAGCCCGCAGGCCTCCTCAGCCTCCGGCGTGGACATAAAAACCAGAGCGCTGAGCCCAGTCCACTGTCCTGCGAGCAGGCTCGCCGCCGTCCTGTGTCCTGCCTGGCCTGTCTGGAGTGGTCTTGCACCCGTCTCTGGGCTCCAGCTCTGGAGCACCGAGTGCCTGGGCAGCTGCTGCGTGCCGAGCGTCGTGCCTCCTGCCTCGAGTCAGCCCGAGCAGGTGCCGCGTCCAGGCGGAGTGGCTGCCGAGATCGAATGTAGACGTGTCCCTAATAATTCACCCCCGTGTCTTCCTTCCTAGTCTCGCATTCAACGGCATCACCACAGAAGGGGCAAGAGCCTGGCGGGCCCTGCGCAGAACGCGTGTCTGAAGATATTCTGGTAACCGCCAGGGCCATCCGGAAGGGCTGGGTCTCGGGAATGTGCTCTAGGGCTGCACAGCCTGGAGTCTCCACTGAAAATGTCCCTCTCAGTTGGAAAGACTCTAGGCCTTTCTAAGTGGGTGGATAATTTAATTCCTGCTAGAGAAGAAAATAGCTATTCCAGAAGCACAAACAGGGACGGAGGGGGAAGTGGGCCCCGGGAGCACAGGTTTGAGGCGTTAGACTTCTTTTTTGAACAGAGTCTCACTCTGTTGTCCGGCTAGAGCCATGGT